ATTGTCCAGTAAGAACGAATTATATATAGCTAATATTCTTGGAAGCACAAGGTTTCATCAGCAGACTGAACTACTGCCTTGTATTGTTCTTAGCAAAGGGTTTGGTTTTACAGTGTTAACATGGCCTGGTGAGAGTAGAGAAGTCAAAGTTGGGAGCCTGAGGTTTCCTCTCCCACCTAAGATCCACAACTGATACACTGGTTTTCCGTCTTCACCATGAATGTGGTATATTGCCCTTTAGGAATATATTATTCAACAGTTCTCTGTAAAAGCACTTTGGAATCTTTAGCTATATATTTCTATGAAATCATAATGAACAATTATTTGCTATCTTGAAATATGGAATTCCTATCCTTCCCTTCTCCACATACAAACAGATAAAATGATACATTTAAAATTTCATTTAAGAATTTACTTCTTTTCCTCCAATATCTGAAAGAAAGCAAGTACTGCTCTTCCCCCTTTCAACTATATTACATTATGCCTGAATTTGAGAGGGAAGGAAGGCCCATAAGTAAGGCAAAGGATTCATTTAGGACAACATTCTGGCCTTTATTTTAGGGCAGAGTGCCACTGTTTCCCTTTGAACGCAGGTTTCAGGCTAATCTTTAATTGTCCACATACCATCCTCTAAATGGGATGCCTCCAACCCCCAAAACATTAGTTGCCAGAAAAAACAAAAAACAAAAAACTGAATCTTGGTGCGGTGCTTAAAAGTGATAACTCATGAAATAATCAAAACATCCTGCCTGCTTTTATCAGTCTCTCACTATGGAGCCATGCCTAGTGATGGGAATAAATAAAACAGTGGGCCACAATCAATTGTGTGATAAAACTTCCATCCTGTTTTCTTAAACATTAAATATAATCTTGCTCCCCAAAAAAGTAAGAAAGGCACTCGAATTAACACAGTCTGTATAGTTATTTTTTAAAAGACACTATGTGACAATAAGGAATAAGGAATTCTAGGGGTTAACTTCCCAGGGCCTCCATACATCTCTCCATTAAATAGGAGCTTATTACAGACCATACCTAGGTGTGGGGAGGCAGCAACACATAAAGTGCTAGGGTTTGCACAGTTCTATTTGAGAAATTTATTCAAGACAAAAAGTTCAGTTGTTATCATGTTCAAATTTTCTAGCCTACTTCAAATATCTTTAAGTTTCAAAATATAATTTTCTAGTAGCAAAATAATAGCTTAAAACAGCTTTTTTTTTTGGGAAAAAATCATGCTACTTTCCTTTATAACTAATTCTTTAGCATCTTCTATAACTCAGGGGAACTAAGGTAGGGATTATTAGACTGTTGTACAGTAGGTGGTATTTGCCATCTTGTGAAACTGACAATTCATTTGCTACAATATTAAAAATTCTTTTTACACACACATAAATGTGTGTGTGGCCCAACAAGCACAAATTGGCATGACCTGAACATACCTAAACGACATACAATCTACTAAGTATATGCTTTCCTACAAACTACTGCATAAAAATCCAAAAACTTTTGTTTCTACATCTTATATCACATAAGCCCTTATTTGAAAATTTAAGTACTTTTACACATAACCTGTATACATTTAACCCTATTAATAATTAAGCTTTTAAGTGAGAACTGTACCATAGGAATAAGAAATATGACTGAAAGTCTGGGCCCAGAGTTTCTTAAGAGGTATTAAAATGCTAAAATCTAGAAAAGACAAAGGGGACATTAATATGTATCAAATCCCTAAGCTTAAAAAATGACTCACACAGACTTAAAAAATATCTGAAAGAGTCACAGTTCAAGTTACAGGGAAGAAAGGAGAAGCACAAAATGATGATATGTGCAGATCATGATAGGTACAGATCAGTAAGTCACTGAAATCAAATAATTTCTTCAGATGACCAAAAGTAGTTCTGGCTCTGTATGCAGGATCTGTCTTCTAGTATCACAAATGAACAGAAAGTGGTGTTCTTAAAGCAAGTGGGTTCTTTAGCTCTATACATTTTTAACATATATTATAGTACAGTTAATTGACAATGACAGAACTGTATTTTTTGGCTGGGATTTAACAAGTTTAAACAAGGTAATGAAATGAAGAAAAAAAAATGTCTAAATCAATTTATTCTATATGTGATGGCTCTTCCCAAGTACTACGAAGCTAGAAAGCATCATTAATTCACAATCCATTGCACTAATCCATCTATTTCTCAATCATTACTCATTCTATTACAACCAATCTTTCTCTTCTTCTGTCATTCATTAATTTAATAAATATTTAATGAGTCCTCACAATGTGCAAAGCACAAGTAGAATCTGGAAAACACTATATTGTCAAAATAGGTACACTAAAGTACACTAAGGTACACTAAAGGTGGGGTGAAGGTGGTGGTGGACAGTTACAGATCCTAATGCTTTTCGCCTGTCAGTAGTATTCTTAATCCACAGTATGGTACAATTCACTGTTCTTCCAGTGAAAGTTTAATGAAATATGTGTCAATAAGCCATTTTTTCCTTTTAACAATTAGATAGTTATAGAAAAATAAGTGAAGACTAGCAAGTCCCAGAATATAGACAGATCCTTTCCACTACAAGAGCTCAAAGACATTATCATGCTACAGATAATGGGTTTAAATGTTTACCACTTAGGGAAAAAACCAACCATATATGACAATATTAGGATTTTCTGTGAATGAACAATTAAAAAATGCAAAATAAAGCAGCACACAAAAGTTACATACTAACAGTATCCTTTGGATATTTGTATTTTTGCTCTCTACTTAAAACTTTTAGGAAAAACCAAGATAGATTAAAGGATTGCACGGCTTCAGAAAAGAGTGGGTTAAGAGCTGTAGAAGATATGGAAATAGTTAACACCAAAGATGGGCAAGATAATCAGTGGAAGGTACACAAAGGCATAGAGCACTATAAAAATGTAGCTAATATTTTATAAGGTATTGTCTACACTCATTTCCTGATTTTTTTTTTTCCACATCAAAGCATAAGAAGCCCTATTACTAAGAATGTGAAAAATAATTCTTAGGAAAAAAGGTAATACTGAGTGAGGCCAGAATTTGGCAATATATTTTAGTGGAATGGGCTGGATCACCCATGTCTTCTTTGTGTAGTTTGCCCCCAGACCCTCACAGGAGCTAAAAATCATAAACTTATGATTTTATCCATAGAGGTCTAGGTGGACCTTGAGGTATTTGATTCAAAATATGCTTTGTACACAAAGGGCCATGGAATTATATTCATAATGGGTTTTTTTTTCATCTAAAGAATATAAAAGCTATAAAAAGGTAATTTTTGACTCGAGAGAAGAACAAATTCTGTCTACTGGGGCCAGGCTAGACAACTTTTCTGGTGTTCTTAAGTCTCACTCATTTCAACAGTCTGCCACTCAACAAAATCATGATGCCCAAGTAAAGGACCTATTTCTTCTCCAAGGCAATGTACAAGTCCAGGCTTTCCATAACAGAAGAGGTTTACCTTTCCTTACATCTTAATTTCCACTTTACAAATTACCTAGCAGGTAAAAAGAACAACAGAAAAAGCATGGTTGTCACACTTATTTCTGCCACTATTACTCACATTCTGCACAAAGATAGGACAACTGACAGCTTCCATCATTAGGGAAACTTTTAGAAGGGCTACTCTTGTTCATATTTCTGGTATATGCATGTATTTTAAATGAGGTATGAAATTCATTGCAAATAGGGGGTAGAAATCTTCAGGACATACCCCTGAAGTAAGAAAGGAAAGATACACAAAAATGACACACAAAAGTGACAAAAAGTATGTAATGGATTGGTAAAACAGAAAGTACATGAAAAGGAGAAACACAGACCATTTACAAAAGGGAAAATAAAAGAAAGCAGACGTTACTTGGCTCATTCCCCACCCTCACCCCACCAACCTGAAAAACTCAGCCCTTGTTATTGAAAACATAAGCTACAGCTATAACGTGGATACTTTGGTACCTCATCCCTGATTAAGTTCAGTATCAAAGTTTTGTTTTTCACATACTATTCCTTCCCCTGGCATTTGCCAGTAAACTTTAATAGTCACTTCATGATAATTTTTTTTTTTTTTTTTTGAGACGGAGTTTCGCTCTTGTTACCCAGGCTGGAGTGCAATGGCGCGATCTCGGCTCACCGCAACCTCCGCCTCCTGGGTTCAGGCAATTCTCCTGCCTCAGCCTCCTGAGTAGCTGGGATTACAGGCACACGCCACCATGCCCAGCTAATTTTTTGTATTTTTAGTAGAGACGGGGTTTCACCATGTTGACCAGGATGGTCTCGATCTCTTGACCTCGTGATCCACCCGCCTCAGCCTCCCAAAGTGCTGGGATTACAGGCTTGAGCCACCGCGCTCAGCGATAATTTTGTAGTTTCCATGATGTATCCTCAATAATTTAGATTTTTTAAAAGGAAGATTTTTATGGATATATTTATTTATATATTTCTCCCACTGTCATGTGAATTTGAAATTAAAAAGTGGTAATAGCTAAGAATGGCATTCCAAGTTGTCAAAAAAAAATCAATTTTATAAGGACTGATGTGTTTTGGTATATACCAAATTTGAGGTAAAAATAATCTATCAAAACTAGCAATAAAAATAATTTTCCATTACTGCAATTACATAAACTCTTAATTTTTTTTTAAAATAACCATTTTAAAAATGGATTACATTGGAAGCATTTTTTCATATAAATTCCAATACTTCTGACTTTGGTAATTGAGTAGAACATGCTAGAGAAAGAGAACCAGTTTATATTTTTACACATTCACCCATCTAGCCATTTGATATTCAAAACAATTACATCAAGTTATCCAACATTCATACCAACATTTTTAAGTTGAACTGCAACATGAATGTTTATTTTCAATTTGTTTTAGAGACAGGGTCTCAACTCTATTGCCCAGGCTGAGTATAGTGGTGCAATCATGGCTCACTATAGCCACAAACATGGCTCAAGCAATCCTTCTACCTCAGCTTCCTGTGTAGCCTAGACACAGGTGCATAGCACCATGCCTGGCTTTTTTTTTTTTTTTTTTTTTTTTTTAAACTTTTTGTAGAGATAAGTCTCGCTATGTTGCCTAGGTTGGTCTCAAAAGTCCTGGGCTCAAGTGATCCTCCTGTCTTGGCCTTAAATTTTTAATTTTTAAGAGAATTTGCTTGCCTATGCAGCAACCGGACTGAGGTGAGTAGAGGTGTGTGTTTGAATCAATCAGGAAAACCAAATGAGAAGCCCCATGTATAGAAATACAAAGGGTGAGAAGTTAAACAGAAAATTTAAGATTGTTTAGCAGGAAGAAATTACACAATTATTTTATCCCCACAGGAATGCCAGTTATTAACAAAATAAATACAATGAAAGATTTACTATGGACTTTTAACCTAAAGATGAAGAACATATGGTTAGCCAATAATAGTAAACAGTTCATGCAACTATGTAAAGAATAATGGAAAACAATATTGCACTAAAAGGGGAACCTTGCAGGACTAATTCACCTCTTTCATTGACTCAAAGTAACCAGCCATTTCCTGTATGCATTGGCAAACCTGGCTTGCTCTACGTTCCGACAAGTCGACAATACTTGATCGATGAACCTGTGCTCCATTTCTAGGCCTAGGGAGTCTGGAGCTGGTGTTCGCTTCAGGCGTTTGGTTTCCTGGGAGTAGCCTTGCTTGCTAGAGTCATTCAGTCCATCTACTTCCATTGCCTGAGACAGTTGGGAGCCTGCTGGGATAAGGTGCAAGTCACTCAAAGTCCCCCCAGGGCTGTCTGCAGGTGACAACTGGGTCATGCTGTGAGGCAACCTACCATTTAAGTGATGCTGAAGGTAGAAAATATGCCGCCTGTGACAGAGAGGGGAAGGAAGAGAATAAAGAAAATCACATTACAAAGTCAAGCATTTCAGGAAAAAAAAGTTTGCAATTTCAAAACATACAGTATTCAGTTCACTGCCCACTTCATAACCAAGTTATATAGGAAAGGAGGAAAACCAGTAGAGATGATGTTTCAGGGTATTTGGACAAAGAAAGCCTCACGACCCCAGCTTACTGGTTTGCGAGAAAGGGTATGATCCTAAGGTTTTTCATAAGCATTTACTGAGATGGAAATGACTTGGAGATGGTACTCTCTGATAAAACTAGAAACGTGATAGTCCAGTTTCTGCTATAAATTATAAATAAAAAACAAAACAAAAAACTAACCTCATTGATATCCTAGAAGATAAGTGATTCAAAAATAAGCCGATTGAACAGTTCCTTTAGAGGTTCAGTCAGTAGCCTCTATCAAATAATAAAAATAACATATCTGTTGTAGTGGGTCTTATTCCCCAAAAATCAACTGAACTTTACCCTAAATCCATTATCAGCTACAGTTTTAAACATCCACATGCACTGGGGTCTGAGCAAAACATGTTAAAAGACACAGTTCCTGTTCTCTCTCTAAGGAGAGAGAGCAATTCTCCTGCCCTTAGATCCACCTAGAACTGTTTGTTAAAAATGAAAATTCCCCTCGAGAGGCTGACACAGGAGAATCGCTTGAATCCAGGAGTCGGAGGCTGCAGGGAGATGAGATCGTGCCACTGCACTCCAGCCTGGGTGACAGAGCAAGACTCCATTTTTTTAAAAAATGAAGACTTCCATGCCTTATATCCAAAAATTTCAATTATGTGGGGGCACATCTATGTACAATGAACTGTATAAGTTCTAGGTTGTTATATCTCATCATTCATATTAGCAACTCTAAGCCCTTAAAAGAATTCTATTCATTTTCCTTGCATATTCTGAAGTAGACAGGGAACACATAATGTACCAATTTTACAGGGGGTAAAACTTAAAGGCTAGATAAGCTGCCTAATTGCAATGAGTCAGCAGTAGAAAACTGGCCTATGTAATACAGGCATACCTAGTTTATATTATGCTTTGCTCTTACGTGCTTTGCAAACATTGTATTTTTTACAAACTGAAGGCATGGCAATCTTGTGTTAAGCAAGTCTATCGTCACAATTTCTCCAACAAAATGTGCTCACTTTGTCTCTGTGTCACATTTTGGTAATATTCCTAATATTTCAACATTTTTCATGATTATTCAATCTGTTGTGTGTTACCAATATTATGTGATCAGTGATCTCTGATGTTACTACTATAACTATTTTGGGGTGTCACAAACCACACACATATAAAGTTATAAACTGAATCAATAAATGCTGTATGTGTTCTGACTGCTCCACCAACCAGCTCTTCCCCCATTTCTCTCTCTCACCCCAGGCCTCCCTATTCCCTCAGACACAACAATATTGAAATTAGGCCAGTCAATAACCCCACAACAGCCTCCAAGTGTTCAAGTGAAAGGAAGAGTCACACGTCTCTCACTTTAAATCAAAAGCTAGAAATGATTAAGCTAAGTGAGGAAGGCATGTCCAAAGCTGAGACAGGCTGAAAGCTAGGCCTCTTATGCCAGTTAGCCAAGTTGTCAATGCAAAGGAAAGTGTTTGAAGGAAATTAAAAGGGCTACCCCAGTGAATATACAAATGATAAGAAAGCGAAACACAGCCTTACTGCCGATAGGGAGAATGTTTTAGTGTTCTGCATAGAAGAGCAAATCAGCCATAACATTCCTTTAAACCAAAGCCTAATCTAGACTAAGGCTCTAATGCTCTTTAATTCTATGAGGACTGACAGAGGTGAAGAAGCTGGAGAAGAAGACTTTGAAATTAGCAGAGACTGGATCATGAGGTTTAAGGAAAGAAGCCATCTCTATAAAAATACAAAGTAGCAAATACAGATATAGAAGCTGCAGCAAGGTACCCAGAAGACCTAGCTAAGTTTACTGATAAAGGCAGCTACACTGACAAGAGATTTTCAATGTAGATGAAACACCCTTCTATTGGAGGGTACCATCTAGGACTTTCATAGCTAGAGAGAAATCTATGCCTAGCTTCAAAGCTTCAAAGGACAGTCTGACTCTTGGTAGGGGCCAATGTAGCTGGTGACTTTAAGTTGAAGCCAAGGTTCATTTACCATTCCAAAAATCTTAAGAATTATGCTAAGTCTACTCTGCCTGTGTTCTACCAACGGAACAACAAAACCTGCATGAAAGGACATATGTTGACAGCATATCCATTTAAAGAATGGTTAACTGAATACTTTGAGCTCACTGCTTGCTCAGATAAAAGGATTGCTTTCAAAATATGACTGTTCATTGACTATGCACCTAGTCATGTGAGATCTCTGATTGCGATGTACAAAAAGATTCATGTTGCTTTCATGAGTGCCAACACAGCATTCAATCTGTAACCCATGGATCAAGGAAGAACTTCAACTTTCAAGTCTTGCTAAGAAATATATTTCATAAGGCTATAGCTGCCACACAGAGTGATTCCTCTGATGTATCTGGGCAAAGTAAATTGAAAACCTTCTGAAAAGTGTTCACCATTTTGGATGCCATGAAGAATGTTTGTGATTCATGGGAGAAAGTCAAAATATCGACATGAACAAAACTTTGGGAGGTGATTCTAACCCTCATGGATGACTTTGAGGAACTCAAGACTTCAGTAGAGTAAGTCACTGCAAATGTAGTGGAAATTGTAAGAGAACTAGATTTAGAAGTGGAGCCTGAAGATGTGACTGAATTGCTACAATCTCATGATAAAACTTGCATGGATGAGGAGTTGCTTTTCATTGATGAGCCAAAAAAAAAAAAAAAAAAAAAAAGTGGTTCCTTGAGACAGAATTTACTCTGGTGAAGATGCTGTGCACATTGTTGAAATGACAACAAAGGGTTTAAAATATGACATAAACTTAGTTGATAAAGCAGCAGCAAGGTTTGAGAGGACTCCAATTTTGAACGAAGTTCTACTGTGGGAAAAAAAACGCTGTCAAACAACATCACAGACTGCAGAGAAATCTTTCATGAAAGGAAGAGTCAAACTTCATTACGATCTTATTTTAGGAAATTGCCACAGCCACCCCAGACTTTAGGAACCACCACTCTGATCAATCGGCAGTCATCAACATTGAGGCCAGATCCTTCACCAGCAAGAGACTGCAACTTACTGAAGGGTCAGAAGATTGTTAGCATTTTTTAGCAATCTAGTAGCTTAATTAAGATACATACTTTTTAAAAGACATAATGCTACTGTACACTTCTTAGACTACAGTGTAATGTAAAAATAACTTTTATATGTACTGGAAAACAAAAACAAAATGTGTGACTCATTTTACTGCTGTATTCACTTTATTGCAGTGGTCTGGAACTAAACCTGTGGTATCTCTGAAGTATGCCAATAGCTTAAAAGATCTATCTTCTCTCTTGAAAATGTGAAATAAGAGTGTCTTGGTTTTAAGAGAAAAAAAGAATTCTCTACTAATGAAGGTGCCAAAGAGGGGAGATGATCTTGTATGTTCTGAATATATTTAGTAAAGAAAAGCAGCTAACAAGGTCTCCTCAAATAACCTACCAAATAGACTAGACTGGAGAAAGAGAGAAAATCTCAGTAACTTTAGAAATATGCAATTTTAAAGAATACCTGCCTTCTTCCTGCCTAGCACAGGCAAGTCTTTCATTTACAAATACAATGCTATGGCCTAAAGCAGAATCTGTATTTATGAAGATGAAGATACCTCCAAATAAAGGAAGATCCAAAATAAATGAAGCTAGAAAGGTGGGTCACATACCTGAGCTTTATTTTAACATACTATCAAATGTACTCACAACTCGACAGGTTGCTAACCCTTTTTCACTCTTTCCTACCAGACTATCCCCTCTCTCAAAGAGAAATTCTTTTAACACTTTAAACAAAAAGTGTCAAGAGATTATACTTTAGGTAAGTTAATTTGCAGACCATCAGGGCTGAAAATATGATAAAGCATGCCTTATTCTCAGGGTCTAAACAAATCTCAATCTTGACTGTTATCAAAATTATGTGTTTTTTCCAAAAAAAAAAAAAATGGCTGGGTGTGGTGGCTCACATCTGTAATCCCAGCACTTTCGGAGGCTGAGTTGGGTGAATCACCCAAGGTCAGGAGTTAAAGACCAGCCTGGCCAACATGGTAAAACCCCATCCCTACTAAAAATACAAAAATTAGCTGGGATTGGTGATGTGCACCTGTAATCCCAGCTACTGGGAAGGCTGAGGCAGGAGAATCGCTTGAACCTGGAAGGCAGAGGTTGCAGCAAGCCAAGATTGCACCATTGCACTCCAGGCCTGGGCAGCAAGAGTGAAACTCTGTATCAAAAAAAAAAAAAAAAAAAAAAGAGATAGCATCAATCCATCCTAGATACACTAAAAATTAGTATCTCCAAGAAAGGAGTCCAAAAACTTTTGATTGTTTTATTTTGGAACTAACATAGGTTATTCCGTTGCACAGTCAAGGTTGAATACTGCCATCCTAAGCTGCAGGCAGAGATCTACATGAGGAATCTCATATTAATGATGATGATGATGATGATGATGATGATGATGATGATGATGATGATATGGTAACACAAAACTTCTTATATTCACTCAGGCAAAGCTCCACAATCAGATGACTATGTTCACCCAGTAGGCAGGAATCAGGTGTCACTAACATCTTCTGCAGCTCTCATAAGGACATACACAGTTTTATGCAGGAAATAAGATTTTCCCTTTTCTTACCTATGACACCAAAGGGTTTCATGTCCTGGGTAGGAATCAATAAGATCAGTGCTGAATTCAACTTCTTCTTCTAGAAGATGGGGAAGATTAATCCTTGGTTCCTCTGTTGAAGCTGCTGCTTCTTCATCTTTTGGAAGAACTAGGGCTGGCTCACTTCTCAAACAGTTTTGCTCCATCACAGAACTGTCTATCACAGTTTGGCTAATCAAAGACTTTAGCAAAAACTGGCGGTAGTGAAATCCACTGTGGTCTGAAACGTGCATAGATGCCCAATGCTTAGTAGAAGACAGTTCATCAAGAAGAATCTTGTAAGAAGAAAAAAAGGGTAGTAAGAAGAAGAGTTCCCCAAGGGTTTTCTTTCTGTTACTGCCTCTGATTTCTCCTTAATTTGTTCCTTTTTTGACAAGACCATTCTTACCAATATTTTGTACACAATGTCCAGAACAGTGTTGTCACTTAGTGGAAGCTTAATACATGCAAATTTTCTCTTTCCCATTTAACAGTGACAGTGTTTTTTGTTTGTTTTAAAGACCAAAGAATTTAAGGACTCATTTGTCATCCTTTCCCTAGACCTTGACTACTCATATTCTGATTGGTACATACAGAGAAGTAAAGACAAATTCTAAAATAATGATGACCATTAGGGTATTCACTTAAAAGTAATGCTGATGTAAAGGGAACATATAAACTCAGATTACTTTGATATCAACTTTATATTTAATAAATTTGTGTAATATCTAACTTATTATCTGTTCAACAACAGGCTCAGTGAAATTATTTGTTCTTCACTATAAGTGCCATGAGGGCAGAGACCATGTTTCTCTTGTTCACTACTTAATTCTAAGGGATTAGTACAAAAACATAATGCACTAATAAGATTTTTCAAGAGATAATGACTTTAACTGTTTGTCTCAAACTCATTTAACATTAATAATAAAAGGGTTTTTTGGCCGGGCGCGCTGGCTCAAGCCTGTAATCCCAGCACTTTGGGAGGCCGAGGCGGGTGGATCACAAGGTCAAGAGATCGAGACCATCCCGGTCAACACAGTGAAACCCTGTCTCTACTAAAAATACAAAAAAAATTAGCTGGGCATGGTGGCGCATGCCTGTAATCCCAGCTACTCAGGAGGCTGAGGCAGGAGAATTGCCTGAACCCAGGAGGCGGAGGTTGCGGTGAGCCGAGATCATGCCATTGCACTCCAGCCTGGGTAACAAGAGTGAAACTCAGTCTCAAAAAATAAAAAAATAAAAAAAAAAGGGTTTTAAAATAAGTGAAATAAAATTCAGCAGTAAATTGTTTAAATCTTTGTGATATCAGTATCTTACAAACTAAAGAATTTCAAATGAAACATTTTTTAAAAAGCAGCACTTATGCAAAAATTATTTATTTGAGAGTGTCTTAGACAGGTAGAAAACATAAATCAGTGAAAGGGGTATCAAGGGCCTACCACATTCCATCAGAGGATTTTCAGACCAGCTAAGGAAAAAAGACACACATTTGTGAACAGTTAACAATATAGACAGTATAATGCCAAATGACACCTTTACCTGATTGTCAAGGGTCCCAGGCAAATACCTTCTCCTGTACCATGATCTTTTTTCCATTTCTTACACACTTTTTTTCCCCATGAATCTTCCCCTCTTCTGAATCCCCATAGTACTTGTGTGTTCCATCACATTTATTAAATAATTTTCAGTGCATCTCTTCATTTCCATTAAACTCAGTGACTGAATGCTTTAAGGTATTTATTTATTCCTAATTGATACTTCAATCCCTCTACACCTACTGGCATCAGAGTGGATACATAAGTATTTTATGAAATGAATGAATGAACAATTTAATAAATAAGGTGAATAGTACAAAGGAGTAAGATTATTTCCAGCCAAGATGGTCAAGTTGTATCAGTAGCATGTTTTAAACATCTCCTTTAAGTTCCAATGAGTTTATTCTGCCATCTAAATTTATTCTAGAGGCTATGTCTGGCAAGCCTCTGAGAAATGGAAAACAATATCTTTCTTTGATTTTAAAAGGTAAATATATAAACTCCTACCTGAAATAAAAATTAATCTTATGTTTATGACATTTTTGAAAAATAAACCTGTAAAACATTCTGGCTATCATATAGCAGCCTTTTTATGGATTAAAAAGAGTATTCTACTTGTTTAAAATGAACTTATATAATATGAAAAAAACATTTAGATTATTTCTTACTGGATATTTCCATGTATAAAATTGTAATTTATTATTTTATTTTGAGGCAAAAATGGCACGCATATATATGATGTTCTGGATGGGCGTGGTGGCTCATGCCTGTAATCTCAGCACTTTGGGAGGCCGAGGCGGGCAGGTCACCTGAGGTCAGGAGTTGGAGACCAGCCTGACCAACATGGTGAAACCCCGTCTCTACTAAAAACACAAAAATTAGCCAGGCATGGTGGCACACACCTGTAGTTCTAGCTACTAGGAAGGCTGAGGCAGGAGAATTGCTCAAACCCGGGAGGTAGAGGTTGCAGTGAGCCAAGATCAGTCCACTGTACTCCAGCTTGGGTGACAGAGCGAGACGCCATCTCAAAAAAGAAAAAATAAAGATTTTTAACAAAATCAATTTCTTAAAAAAAATCTTAGGCTTTTAAAGAGAAAATCCACTATATTCTTTTTTCTAAGATATAAAGATGCATATTAAATGAAAGAAGAAACTTTAACTGGAATTTCAGGGCATTTTCTTGTTAGAATAAAAAGATATAAAGATATAGGCAATGATTTTTTTAGAAAAGACAGCAATTACTTTTAAGTGATCCAATTAACATTTAAGTGATCTAAAGATACTATATAAAGTTATGGCTTTAATGTACAGTACTAATGGGATAAATGACCTTTATATGATATACCTTAAATATCCTTCTTTTCCAACTTCCATATGAAAACACGAGGAAGTGAAAAACTACAAGACAACTGCAGATGCAGGGCTATGAAATAGAGGGATAATGTGTTAAAAATGAAAGACTACTGAAAATACATATGCCATCAGTCCTGTAAACTTTTAAAAATAACATTTGGGTTTTCTTCTGATTATAAAAGTGATACAAAATGAAAACTATAGAAAATTCCAATACAGAAAAATATGAAAAAGCAAACAAAAATCATCCATTACTTGTTGACCAGAGATTACTACTTGCAACATTCTGGCATAAGACAAATCTTTCAGGTTTTTTTCTATATATGCACATGCACAGAGTTTATTTTTAACAAAAATCTGGGATATTCTTTTGTACTAATTTTATTCCACTTCAATGATAAATACATTCCTATGGCATTAAATATTATTCTATAATATATTTTTTAACTCATATTTCACCCTCAAGATAACAGAATTTAACCATTCCCATGTTTGTCTGTACTCTTGTGTAACATTCACATATAAATCTATGTACATATCTATTTAGGAGAAATTTCTAGAAATATACTTGCTAGGACAAAGAAAAAATTTTATAAGGTTCTTGATATATACTGTCAAAGTGCCATACAGAAAGGCTGTATAATTTATATTCCTTTTGGAAGTACATGTTAATGCTTATTTCTCAAATTCATTATCAATACTTTAATCATTAATTTAATAAGTGAAGAATCACATTTCATTTGAATTTATATTTCCTTAATTATTATTAAGGCTAACTATCTTTTCTTGTTTGATTACTTTTCTTTTGTTTCATTTATGAACTGCCTATTTTGCCTAATTCTCTATTATGAATTGTCTAATTTGCTATTTTAGTCATTATTTTTCTTATGCGTTTGAAAGACATCTTTACATATTAAAGATATTAAGTCTCTATTTGTCATATGTGTTGTAGTATTTTCAGTATATTACTGCAACTGATTTTTTAAATTATTATTATTTTTTTTTAATTTGGAGTCAGACAAAATTCTTTTTCTTTCTTTTTTCCCTCAGGTCTATTGAAGCATAAATGACAAATTAAAATTGTTTGTGTGTGTGTGTGTGTGTGTGTGTGTGTGTGTATGACATTTTATGTATACAATGTGAAATGATTACCACAATCAAGTGAATTAATATATCCATCACTTTGCATAAGTATTTTCTTTTTTTGTGATAAGAACATTTAAGATAATGCTCTTAGAAATCTTTAGGTATACATTATTATTAAGAGTAATTACCATGTTCTACAATTAGACCTCCAGAACTTATTTATCCTAACTAAAACTGTATCCTTTAACCAGCAACTCCCTATTCCCCACCATAACCCATACTCCTGCAATCACCATCCTACTCTCTACTTCTGTGTGCTCAGCTTGTTTAGACTCCACATACAAGTGAGACCATGCAATATTTGTCCTTCTGTGCCTGGTGTATTTCACTTAGCATAATGTCTCCCAGGTCTCCTTTTCCTTCATAGAGGTTTTTATTCCATTTAAAGTTCAATTTAGTATTTAAGACTAAAAAGTAAATAAATATTTTCTAAAAAGTTAATTATAACATCATCAAAAATTGAACAAGGAATCCTTTCTCTAATTATGTGAAATACCACATTCATCATTAATGAACTATGTACATATCATGTATTGGAATTTGTTTCTGGACTTTATATTCTGTTCCATTACTGAATCTGTTTTTGAAATAGTATAATTTTAATTACTCCATCTTATTAAACATTTAAGTATCTAACGGTAGAGTGTTCCTGATTGTTTTTCCCAACAATTTCTTGTTTATTTTTAAAGCTTTATTCTCTCTAATGAACTACAGAATCATTTTTGAAGTGAAAAAATAAATCAGTGGTTTTTAATATATTCACAGAATTGTGCAACCATTGCTGTTATCTAATTTCAAATGTTTTCATCACCCCCAAAAAACTCCATTCCTATTAGAAATTATACCCCATACCCTCCTCCCCAGCCTTTGACACCCACTAATCGGCTTTGCCTATCCTGAACATACAATATGTGGCCTTGAATCAGACTGCTTTCAATCAGCATGTTTTCAAGGTTCATCCACGTTACAGCATATATCGATATTTCCTTCCTTTTTTATGACCAACATTCCACTGCATGAATATACCACATTTTGTTTTCCATTCCTCAGGTGAGGTTTTACTTTTTGGCTATATAAATAATGTGGTTATCAACATTCTCATAAAATATTTGGTATGGAATGTGTTTTCACTTCTCTTGGGTATTATATCTAGGAGTAGAATTACAGGGTCATATGTAGTAATGCATGTTTTCCCCCAAGAATACAATATATATTAACTATAGTTTTATTAATATATGGTAATTCTATGTTTAATTATTTGAGGAAATGCCAAACTGCTTTCCACAGTAGCTGTACCATTTTACATTCTTACCAGCCATAAATAAGTTTCTCTACATCCTAACCACCATTTATTATTGTCTATATTTTGGTGCAAAGTGTTATCTCACTCCCTGTGGTTTTGATTTCCACTTCCCTAATAGTAATGATGCTGAATATCTTTTCATACCCTTATTGGTGATTTTGGTATTTTTTTTGAGAAATGACCATATGTGCTTTTTTTATGTGAAGCACCATATTAACTTGCAATTTGCCAGTAGTAATAAACTGCCTGAGTGTCTTTCCTGCCACCTTACCTTCAAACATAAAAATATTTTAAAATTTACTTAAATGTTTATTTAAGCATGCAGACATCAGAGAGAATATAAAATAGAAAACTAAGGTATCATAATTCCACCCCATACTACTTTTAATCAATCTTTATTCTTTAACCATTTTTCTGAATAGAAAATGAATATATGCTTTTATAAAAAAACAAGAAAAAAATTAATAACATTGTTGTATGTATGTATGTATAAATATCTGCTGAGCATTTACCATGTGCCAAGCACTGTTCCAAACACTTTAAAGTATTTGCAATCTCATTCAATGCTAATAAATACATTAAAAATTAGATGGCTATGTGCAGTGGCTCTCGCATGTAATCCCGGCACTTTGGGAGACCAAGTCAGGTGGATTCCTTGAGGTCAGGAGTTTGAGACAATCCTGAGCAACATGGTGGAACCCCATCTCTATGAAAAATACAAAAACTAGCCAGGCATGGTGGTGCATGCCTGTATTCCCAGCTACTTGGGAGGCTGAGGCAGGAGAACCGCTTGAATACAGGAGGCAGAGGTTGCAGTGAGCTGAGATTGTACCACTGCATTCCAGTCTCATTTATTTATGAGAACTGTCTCATAAATAAATAAAATCTGGCTTATTCTAATATAATGAATATTTTTCTTTAAATCATCTTCTAAAATATAATTTTTAGTCATAACAAAATATTCCAATGTGATGGCCTGTAACTAATCCCTCAGCATTGAAGGGCTACAGCTTTTCTAGTTTTTCACTACTATAAGTGCTACTTTTATATATCAAACTTCCATATTTAATAGCCAGTGTGTAATGGCTATTTAATAGCCAAAGTGTAACACTTAGTTAAGGCACTGTGATAGCCACTTTATACAAATCCTCAAATTCAATTTGCATCACTCAGTGAGATGGAATTACCATCACCCCACTTTTCCAGATGTGAAAACTGAAGGTTGAAGAGACTAAGTAACTTCCTCAAGGCTACACAGCAAATTATTGGTAAAGCCAGAATGCAGAGTAGGTCTATATGACCACTGAGTGAAGCCTTTAATCACTCTACCAAACTTCATTTTCCATTATTTCTTTATGATGAATTCCTGGAAGCAGAACTCTTAAAAATAACACCCTATTTTAAAAAGTGTGATAAATGCTGCCATGTTGCCCTTCAGTAAGATTACAACAATTTGAATAATGCTCATTTTCATACTCTTACTAATACTTGATACCAGCACTTTAAAAAGTCATTTTCAGTTTTCTAAGCTAAAACATGCTGGTTCATTTCACATATATTTTTAAGCTGATCTAGACTACTAGTATATTTTGTGATTACCTGCTGTAATAGACAAAGCATAGCAGTAAATGTTCTAGGGGCCCAGTGCCTTGTAACAGAAAGGAGATTTTGCAAATTTAGGACTCCTCACTGACAACAAGAACAGGAGATGTTGCAGTGGCAAGTGGTGACAGGAAGAATGGTAAGTCCTCCTCCAAGGGCAAGTAGAGGAAGGGTGATGACATCTGAGCCCAAGAGTAGACCCTGGCACCTGAGCCATTAATGAGTTATCCTTACCACCAGATGGTTTCAAGTAGCCAAGAATTTCACTTTGGCCCCTTGTTCCTGATTTTATGGAAATGCCACTTGAAAAGGTCCACATCATGGCAGAAAAATTTCCAAAGAACTCTCAGTTAACCTGGACTCTGACTTCCTTTTTATCCCCAGTCCTCCTCATATCTCTTTCCTCCTCCCATATACTATTGAGTTGTAGATCTGACATGATTGCCTCTAAAGCACTCCATATCCCTGACAACCCACCAAACAACTTGTAATCACACCTCCAGACTCATACTGTGTATTTTCCTTCCCCCTGGCAGCTATTTCCAATGAGCCCATCCTAGATGAAGAACCATTTTTCTGTGCTCCCACTGTATTCTGATGCTTTGGAATTGTTGGTCTAGTTTCTCAACTAGATTTTCAATTTGTTAAGAGCAAGCACTTAGTTTTACTGCCATACCCAGTACATAGGACAGTGGCTGGGTATGATAGAGTTTTGCACTTTTCATGAATAAACTGTACTTAGTTGATCAAGCAAACTGGTGGCCAATTTTCTATCTTTGGGGGAGCAGAAAAGGAACTAAAATGGAGTCAACCTCTCTTTATTAGATGCCCAGTAATTTACATCGATTAACTCAAATAACTCAAAATAATCCACTGAGGCAGACAGTAGAGTCCCTATTTTATAAATGAAAACAATAAAACCTTACTTTCCACACATAGCTAGTAAGGCCCAAATTTGAACCTAGGTTGATGTGATTTTAAGCCTTTGCTCTTTCTACTCCATTAGGTGGCCACCCGTCCTGAAACTCAAAGCCATGTAAACCGGAAGGGGAAGGCTCCTCTTCCAGAATTGATGGCTTAAAATCCCCTGGAAGTAAAAGCTCTCCTATTTGTCTTGGCCGGGAAACAAAGAGGAAAATGACAGCATGGGAAGAGGGAGGTAGGAAGAAGGGGTGGTACACTAAAACTACATAATACTTCTCCACTAATGTGAAAGCACCAGCTGGGGCACTTCCATCTTCAACTTGACCTCTTTTAATTGTCTCAAGCCTAAGAAGCTTTTTAGATGAGCACCCTAGATTCTTATGGCACTGTGACATCATCAGAAAAGAAAAAACTGAGACACTATAGTATATCAGAAGGAGCACAAGGGACACCTGGCTCTCATTCTGATGAATAATAAGTGGTGCAACTGTAGCTAAGTCTAAGCCATTAAAATTCTCTGGGAATCTCCATCTCCTGATTTCTAAACTGAAAGGATTAGGCTGTGAGAGTTTCCAAACTGCCTCTGCATCCAAATCACCCCGAGTCCATGGAAAATGCTGATCTCTAGATCCATCCTCATTCTGATTTAGTAGGCCTGGAGTGGGACTTAGGAATCCCCAGGTAATTCACAGGAAGAGAGATTTACATCCTCCTCTCCCCTTTTTCAGAGGATGACAGTGTGAAAAGACAGTCAGCTGACTTAGTATATTGTCACATAACCAAACACTACCAAGAAATAACAATTCCAGTTCTATAAGGCTTAATAATCCCTTCCTGTTTCAGGATAAAGTGAGTTATGCTCAGTCTTCCTCAACTGGTTAAACCTGCCTTTGTTTTACCAATGCACTAGCCTTAAGACTGCCAAAAATATGTCCAGATCATTAGTTTCTCTACTCCTTCAAGGCTCTTCTGAGGATGAACCATTACAAGAAGATTTTAATGGCCAGGAGACAATAGTATCCCTACCTTGACATCTAGCTTGGCCAAGTGCTGTAAAACCCAGATGCGATGGGACCAAGCATTATAGTTGCTTGGGTATCTCCCTGCAGCTTCACCACAGACCTCCATCTCTTCTTGTATGAGTCTCTGTGCCCTTTCTGCGGGAACTGTTCCCAAGTTTCCTTTGGTCACAAAGGAAGGCAACGAGGTTTCCTGAATTAGCTGTTGTAGCACCCATCGCCTGTTAAGATAGCATGTGGGAAAGAACACAGAAAGAACATAAATCAGAGAGGAAAATAACCAGTTTTCATTATTCCTGATTTAATTTCCATTCAGAGACAATGTAGAATAATACCTGTTTATAAGTCCATTTTTTTTTGGAGATGGGGAGGGGTTGTTTTGTTGTTTATGGCAAAATAAAATTTAGCAGTATGGATGAAGGTTGGAAAAAAGGATAAACGGGAAAAAAAAAACCCTTTAAAATCTGTAATACTTTTTACATTACAATTACATTAGAGAATGTCATTACTTGTAAAATGATAATCCCAAAATTCCAATTGGCCAGGAAATATAAAGGCAAATGGGGTGTGTATATGTGTGTGGTGGTGGTAGTGGTGGTGGTGGTGGTGGTGGTGGTGGTGAGGGGTTATAAATGGCTGATAAATATTACAAGAGAACTCATGATTCACATCTTTAATTATATATGCATTAAAAAAATTATATATGCATGCCTCACCCTATGAGCATTTGTTTGCAAACAAGAAGCTGCATTCTGATAGTTTTTATTCAGCAAAATTTCTGTATTATAGCATAAAATCTGGAAGGTAACAAGTATAATTCATTTAACCATTAAGGAGGTGTCAAAATATCCTTATCCACAAATTCTCCCTTTGTCTATTTAAGATTTGCATTAGCATGTATCTTACATAAAAGGCACTAGTGTTTCTAACTATGTAATGTGTTTAGTTTGTACCAGTAAGTTACTCATATAAAAACGGTTTTTAAAGATTTCCAACCCAAAGGTACAGGAAGTTGAGTAAGGAAACTCATTTTGTCATTTTAAAATAATGGACTTTCTTATTTAACAACAAAATACTGCTTTATAAAAAAATTAGGCAAGCCAATAAACCGATGGATACATATTTAACAGTTTCTTTTCCCTGCCACCATCCCTTTCCAACTCTCCATATACGCAGTCATATGCCTTTCTGTGGTCTACTATCCCAATTTCTAGTCATGAAGAAACGATAGCTGACTATGTGGTTTGGAAGAAGCTGACCTGCATTGTTAACCAAAGGCAAGATTACCACTAAAACACCTTGAACTGAGGTAAGATCCTAAAATGCCCAGGATTTAAGAAAAATTTGAGAATTTCAGAATGACTTCTTTATTGGTCCTAACCAGCAAGCCCACACCATCCCATTTTGGTCAAATAAAAGTAGTTACAGAGGGTCCATGAGGAAGATGCTTCCAGGTGGCCAGGATTTTGAGAGTCCTAACGTGCATTCTGGCTATCTGTCCCAGGCTTTTGATCTAAAACTGTTCTTAGCAACTTTAGCTCAGCCTACATAGCATTCAACTTAGCTGCCCTTAGCTTTCTCTATAAATTAATTTTAATAACCACAACCATCACCACCACCATCTTTACCAGGAAAACAACCAAATGCTTTTAAAATCCACATTGCTCATTACAGTTGAGTATCTAAATGCAATCTCCACAACTGCTTCAGAGAGTTAATAATAGCTAACATTTATTATTTAATATGTGCCAGGCACTATGAGAGTGTTACATGCATTAATGCATGTAAACTTGACTGTTAACTATATGAGATAGGTGTAATTATTATTCTCATTTTACAAATGAGAAAACTGAGGCTTGGTGAGGTTAAGTAATTCCCCATGAACACTTAGGTAGCAAGCTATAAAGCTCCAAGATTTAAATGCAGGTAGCCTGACTTCAGAATTCATGCTCTAGAACCAATACGTGACCCTGCCTCTCACATGGCATGTTTCTTTCTCCAGCCATTCTTGAGTCACAAGTAAGAGTACTATGTTGTAAATTAACCACACCTGTGAATCCACGTTTCTGGACTCTTTGGAAACTTAGTTAAGGCGAGTTTTCCCAGATGTAAATCCTTAATTGGATTTAAAGTGCCAGAGAGGATCAGCTCTTTCCTGTTTAAAAAAAAAAAAAAAAGTTTTAAAATTACTTTATCCTTATATCCAAAGGTTCCGCATGGCTTTTAATATAACCTCATTGTAAAGTGAATTTCTAAGGGAAAAAAAAAAAAAAAAAAGAAAGAAAGAAAAAAAGCCCAAGCCACTCTGGGATATAAAACGCTCATAAATGTGACATGCAGTCATCAAGAATGTATTCTCATAACCTCAATATACCAAATTAATAAGCAGAAAGAGAGGCTTTTAACTCAGCAGGTGAAATTTTAACTATTTGTGTGAAGGCAAAGGGGTTTTCTGGCCTACCTCATTTCCAAAAGTTGTGAGATCTGCTAGTGGTATCTATAGGGCCAATCCAATACCAGTCAAGAATTGGTGTAGTTTCCTAAATAGGACTTTACATGGTCTCTTTCATTATAAAACCACACAATATGACTGAGATGTAAGGGGAAAAAAATCATTCATGGAATCACTATTCTAACCAAACTACTATTTTTTATTTTTGAATTTTCCCTTCTACTTTTCCCTTTACACACATATATTTTAACATATAATTGTATATCCTAGACTCATTATATCTTAAACATTTCCCCATGATTCTATGTAATGAACATTTTAAATGATCAAATAGTTTGTAATGAACATTTATTTAAATGCTGAAATAGTTTTCATTCAGTAGCTATGCTTTTCCCTTGTTAAGACATTTAAGTTGTTTCAAACTTTTTGTTACTTTAAAACAAATCTGGCAGGGCGGGGCGGGGGGAGGTGGAGTGGAAAAGCTTTGTGCTCATGACTTCTTTGTTTTGTATTCTCACTTTGGATAAGTTTCTAAAAGAGCTATTAACAAGGTAAAATACATGACCTTTGATATACTAGGCCATTCCTTTTTAAAATATTAATATAAGCAGCAGAAGTAATAGCAATGTAAGGTTTTGTTGTTTTTAAAACTGTCTGAACCCAACCAAAGCTTCAATACAATCACTGTTGTCCCTTGGTATCTTGGGGGGCCTTGGTTCCAGGACATTCCACAGATAACAAAATCTGCAAAGGCTCAAGTCCTTGATATAAAATGTGCTGCCATATAACCTATGCGCATCCTCCCATATACTTCATATCATTTCTAGGTTACTTACAATACCGAACACAATGTAAATGCTACTGTTCAGGGACTAATGACAGGAAAACGAAGTCTGAACACGTTCACTACAGAAAGCATTTTTCCCCCAAATATTTTCTATCTGCAGTTGGTTGAATCCATAGATGCAGAACCTATGGACACAGAGGGCCAACTATAAAAGAATGTCATGCAAGCTTTCTATACCTATTTCTCAGGTAAATACAATTTATGTTTACTTTCTCAGGTAAGTTTTTGGTAAGTGCCGATATTATAGTTACTGAATTCTCAATGTATCTATGATAAGTTTATAACAAAATCAGATCATTTGCTATTATTTATTAATCTTCAAATGTCCTTTTTGTGGTAGGGCTGATTGTTCATTTATTTTAGAGAAGTATAAGCCAGAGAAAACCAGAATCAAGTTCTTATGCCATATCTACTTAGATGGATTTAATTCCTAAATACCATACATATTCTTTCCAACGGTGACATAGTATTTCTAAAGTCTTATTTGACAAAGAAAACAACTATTTTCCTTTCAATGTTCAGGAAACCAATTGTGATTATAGATACAAAATATGTATTTTTACATGCAACAGCCAATTGCCTTTGCAGTCTTGGGATTCTTTTTCTTCTGAAATCAGTAGCATTTTGTTTATACAGTAAGTTAGGATACCTATAAAGTAAAAGGAGGAAAAGATTGCTCTATATAATTTTAACTACTTTTGAGAGCAATGTTTCTCAAAGTGGACCCTGACTGCAACATCAGCATCATCTGAAACTTATGTGAAATGTAGATCCTCGGGCCTCAACCCAGACCCCAATGAACCAGAAACTCAGGTGGGCACAGCAATATGTGTTTTAAAACAAGCTCTTAAGATGATGCCCATTGGCTAGGCACAAAGGCTCGTGCCTGTAATCTCAGCACTTTGGGAGGCCCAGGCAGGTGGATCACAAGGTCAAGAGATTGAGATCATCCTGACCAACATGGTAAAACCCCATCTCTACTAAAAATACAAGAATTAGCTGGATGTGGTGGTGTGCACCTGTAGTCCCAGCTACTCAGGAGGCTGAGGCAGAATTGCTTGAACCCAGGAAGCGGAGGTTGCAACGAGCTGAGATTACACCACTGCACTCCAGCCTGGTAACAGAGACTCTGTTTAAAAAAAAAAAAAAAAAAAAAAAGCCGGGCACGGTGGCTCAAGCCTGTAATCCCAGCACTTTGGGAGGCTGAGGCGGGTGGATCACGAGGTCAAGAGATCGAGACCATCCTGGTCAACATGGTGAAACCCCGTCTCTACTAAAAATACTAAAAATTAGCTGGGCATGGTGGCGTGTGCCTGTAATCCCAGCCACTCAGGAAGCTGAGGCAGGAGAATTGCCTGAACCCAGGAGGCGGAGGTTGCGGTGAGCCACAACTGCACCATTGCACTCCAGCCTGGGTAACAAGAGCGAAACTCCGTCTCAAAAAAAAAAAAAAAAGACATCCATTAAAGTTTAAAAAACTACTATACCAAATTTATTGTATTATGCTTAATTTCCATTTACTAAATTTAAGACCTCTTATTATTTACAACTGCCTACCTTTATTCTCATATACATCCATATGTAAGGGGAGAGAATAAACATTTTCTTCAAAAAAGAGGCAGTCTCCCTATAACTGAGTTTTGACAAAGTTTCTAAAATTATGAGCACTCTCTTTTTGCAACCACTGAAGCACGGAATTTTTTAAGAAGAAAAAAAATATGGACACTGTTAACATATTTAGAACTAAGCAGTATTTTTGGGAGGACATCTTAGCTTGAAACAATCTCAAACAATGTTAATATATAATTGACACTGAAAAATATCACCTGATGGAATCAAGCAAAATTTTAATATCAATGTAATAAACTTTCCTGGGGTAGTACTGAACATTTGTAGGTGTTGGATATTGCTGAAAACAAGTTTTTCAAAAATCACTTTAAGAAGATACGATAGGTGGTAAAATTACAACAATCACATAATCTAGTGCTACTTTTTTGTTTTTTTGAAATGGGGTCTCTTGCTCTCTTGCCCAGGCTGAAGTACAGTGGCACAAGCTTGACTCACTGAAACCTCCGTCTCCTGGGCTCAAGCAATCCTCTTGCCTCAGCCTCCCAAGTAGCTGGGACTACAGGCACACACCACCACATCTAGCTAATTTTTTGTAGTTCTGGTGGAGATGGGGGTCTCACCATGTTGCCCAGGCTGGTCTCAAACTCCTGAGCTCAAGCAATCCACCCAACTCAGCCTCCCAAATTGCTAGGATTACAGATGTGAGCCACCACACCTGGCCATTGAGCTACATTTTTAACAAATCAACTGCTCTGATGTATGCAAATAGGAATCTGGCTTGAGATACAATTTCCACTTATACATGGATTTGAAAAGTGCTATACCTCAAACAACTTAGATATAATTTGACGGGCTCTGGAAACTGTGCAACTAAAAACAGCTAGCTCTTGTGATGACAAAGTCACTGATGTCAATGAGGTACGTAAGGTGTTTGAATAAAACTCATTTTTTTCTCAATCTTCAGTTATTCTGTCTGAAATAACAATAATAATGGCCATCCTCATAAAAACTACCATCTATTGAACATTTCCATTGAGTCAAGAACTGTGTAAAGTGATTTACATATGTTATGTAATTTCTCACAACAATCCTGCAAGGTAAATAGTATCATTGAGCCATATGAAATTGCTGATACTCAATCTTTTTTTAAAATCAACTTTTTATTTTACAATAGTTTCGGGTTCATAGACAAGCTGTAAGGATAATACAAAAAAATTCCCATATGCCCTATACCTAGTTTCTCTGCTGTTAACATCTTACATTACCATGGTACCTTTGTCAAAATGTATGAAACACTGTTGATATATTTTCATTAGAAGTCCATACTTTATTTAGAACTCCTTTGTTTTTACCAAACGTCCTTTTTCTATTCTATGGTTCCCTCTAGGATCCCTTATATTTGGTTGTTATGTCTCCTTATGCTCCTCTTGGCTCCTCAAATTTACGTTGGTAGTGATGGCTTTGACAGTTTTGAAAATACTGGGTCAGGTATTCTGTATAATGTTTTTCTCATCATTAAACTGGAGTTATGGATTTTGGAGAGGAAGACCAAAGAGGTAAAGTGACATTTTCACTGCATCTTATCAGAGACATGTGCTATCAACACGACTTATCATTGTCGATGTCAATCTGGATTACCTGGCTGAGGTCAGGTTTCTTCATTACTCTTTTAGAAGAAAGTCACTAATTTTTTGATTCAGTGCACAGCCCACCCTTAAAAAACACAAGAGTTATGCTCTACCTCATAGACAGGGGTTACCTAGATAAATTAACAGGACATTTGTCTGTTGTCTCCTATTTATATATTCTTCATTCATTTCAGTGGGCTGATGGATAGCCATTTTATACTCTGGGGTATAATCCAATACTATGTTATTTATTTTGTTGCTCAAATCATTCCAGCTATGGCCACTGGAAGCTCTTTCAGTTGCTCCCTGTATCCCTTTCACATATTCCCACCATATATTTTTGAGTACTTCCTTACTTTCTGGTTCTATAAGATGCTCCAGGCTCATTTTGTATACTTGTTGTGGTCCTAGAATCAGCCATTTCTAACATCATTAAAGAATGGTATTAGAAACCACAGTGTGGGTGCTAGAATTAAATTGTTTTTTATTTACCAAAAAACAATTTCATATGGGTCAACCTAGTATCTCAATTTTACAGATGAGGAAATTGAATCCTGGAGAAGTTCAGTAACTTGTTCAAGGTTTCTTAGCTCAAAATGTCAGAACCAAACATCAAATCTGCATAAAATAAAGTTACAATTTAAATCAATAGGCTATAAGTATAGAACACGAATCACTGGTGTTTGACATCAACTATTCTAGTTACTCAAAGGTGTTTTGCTTACTCTAAGAACATAGATTGATGAAGAAAATAGGACATTATTACTAAGTCAACCTCTTTTTTTTTTTTTTGAGACAAGTGTCACTCTGTCACCAGGCAGTATGCAGTGATGCAATCTCGACTCATTGCAACTTCCACCTCCTGGATTTAAGCAATTCTCCTGCCTTAGCTTCCTGAATAGCAGGAATAAAGGAGCATGCCACCACGCCTAGCTAATTTTTTGTATTTTTAGTAGAGACGGGATTTCACCATGTTGGCCAGAATGGTCTCGATCTCTTGACCTCGTGATCTGCCTGCCTCGGCCTCTCAAAACGCTGGGATTACAGAAATCAACCTGTTTCATCAAGTAATTCACTAATTTTCAAAGCAAAAAAAAAAAAAAAAAAGTAGCAGTCTTTTTTCTTTAAAAAAAAAAGTTGAAATTTTAAACTATGTGTATTACTCAGTGTAATCACACGAGATCAGCTCAAAAATTTATTTTTGCCTCTATTTCTTTCCCCTAAGACTGCAATACCCACACATTGAACTAGAGGTCTACTGCATCATCTTTCAGCAGTAGTTTGAAAAATGCATTAAAAAAAATCACTCAATGCCTTCCAGGGTTAGTAAAGAAGAGATCCACTAACAATTAAAAATAAAGTGCTGTGTATTTGATATGCAGGAGACCTTACAGGGTTAGAGAAGTTTACTTTGAAGTTGCTAGTTTATTGCTCAAAACGTACCTATGATTCTATGTCTTTATACGTCAACCAATCTTACTAATATAAATTAAAATTTATTAGAACATATATCCATGAAAGATTTATTTTTTAATCAAGATTCCCTTTCTGCTCATCTAGCAAAAAACCTCACTAGTCATCTAACCAGAATAACTTCAAGATTAACTGCCACAAACACCCCTGAAGTTAAATTTATAGAGTAACTTCCCTTCATAAGACCAAACCACACATAATTTTTTAAAATTTAAATCATTAAAAAATTCACCTAATTCACATCTTTGATTTCACAGATAAACCAAAACTCTTGAGAAATTAAAGGTTATACTCAAAGTCAGCTGCTACTTAACTGATGAAACAGGACTAAGTTCCATGAGTTTTAAGACTAGGGTTTTTTTCTCCTATGTTCAACTGGCTTATAGAATATACAATGAATAACGTGTGTATATACATATGTACACAGGTATGTGTGTGCATGTGTGTGCGTGTCTATATATATATATATATATATATATATATATATGCATGCATATATGCTATGCTAGTGAGATTTTTTTGCTGAAGGATTTTTTAATTCCTCTCTATTGGTGAGGAATGTGAGAATGTGAATAAAAACGGCATTCCTACTTCCCTATTACTCTAATTTTTTTTCACTAAATTTTATTTCAGTGCCCAATTGGCAAACTGCTTATCTATTATGTACAGGCACTAGAGTTAGATGCTAAGGAAACAAAGGAAAAAAAAAAAAAAAAGACATGGTCCCTACCCTTAAAAAATAATCTGAATTTTAAGTTCACAGTACCTTCCTAAGTCTCCTTTGCTGATTCTTCCTCATCTTGCAAATGCTAGAACCACGCTGTCCAATAGAAATATGTGAGTCGCAAATGCGAGTCATATATGATTTAAAATGTTCTAACAACTACATTAAACACAAGTATAAATATATTTAATTCAACATATCCAAACTATTATAATTTCAACAAGTAATCAATATAAAAATTATTAATGAGATATTTCCAGTTGTTGCTACTTGGTCTTCAAAATATGATGTACAGTTTACCACTTGCAGCACATCTCAGTTGACACTAATCACATTTAAAGGGCTCAATAGCCACACGTGTCTAGTGGCTACTTTACTGGATGGTATAACCCTAGAAAACTGGAAGGTCTCAGGGCTGTCTTTAGACTGGTTCTTGTCTCTAGCTATTGCCCACTCTTGTAGGGATCTTAAAACAGTTTCATGGCTTTAAAACCACCTATATGTTAGTAATTCCCAAGTTAACACCTGGCCCAGACCTTTTTCCTGAACTTTAAATTCATACACGACTACTTGGACACAAATCTAACATGTCCCAATCTGAACTCTTGACCTATAACAAGCACCCCATACCTAAATCTGCTTCTCTTCTAGACACTGCCATTTCAGTAAATGGGAACTCCATCTTTTCAGTTGCTCAGGAAAAAAGCCAGAGTCAAGCATGATTCCTTTCTTTCTCATCCTATACACTTTCCACTACTCTGCAGTCACCTCAAAAACCAATGATATGTTATATGCCTTACAATCCAACCAATTATGGTGATTGACCATTACCCTCCCACCTCAAAAAAGGAAGGAAAATAAAAGCATGTATCAAACAGTACACTGTAACTGTTTGACAAGACAATTTATATTTCAGGGAAGAAAGTTTACGGATATGAGACATCACCATGCAAAAAGAGGCAAAATGCATGTTTAGAATTGTCACAGATATAACAAATAGGTAGAAGAAGTAAGACGGTTTATATTTCGTTTTCAAAAGCTAACAACTTATGAGGTTATATGTCTTCAGAAATCTGGATGAACTTTATTATATCACTGATGAAAATGACATACCTCACGTTCCATGCAGTGGTAAAGTCTGGGTTTAGAAGCAGCAGGGTGCATGTGACATCTATCAATTCTAAAATAAAGAGAAGTCATATTAAAAACAAACAGTCCTACCTTTAAAGCTTGGCTTCTCATTCTTTTAAGGATCTCTTTCTCTCTATCACATTATACTAATATATATCTCATGTCATACTAACTTTAATGATAAATACCCTCTTCTAAGATGTCAGGGATATGAAGACTATCCTCAAGACCTTCTACTAATGATAAGTGTAACTCTCTTAAAAGCTGACACAAACAGTTTTACAATATGCCTATAAAGAATAGTCTAATCTCTTCACTTTTATTTTTTAGTACTTTTTGGTACTCATTTAATATTTACCAAGGAAAGAAACACAATTTCTTTTCTTTCTTTCCTTTTTTTTTTTTTTTCTAGACCGAGTCTCACTCTGTTGCACAGGCTGTAGTGCAGTGGCACAATCTAGGCTACCTGCAGTCTCTGCCTCCTGCATCAGCCTCCAGAGTAGCTAGGACCACAGGCATGCACCACCATGCCCAGCTAATTTTTTTGTATTTTTCAGTAGAGAGGGTGTTTCACCATATTGGCCAGGATGGTCTTGATCCCCTGACCTCGTGATCTGCCCACCTCAGCCTCCCAAACTGCTGAGATTACAGGTGTGAGCCACCATGCCTGGCCAAGAAACACAATTTCTATGCCACTATTCATTTAACTCTACAAGTATCTGAAGTATTGACTGTGAATGCAAATTTTCAAAAGGAAAAAAAAAATGACTCAGAATCCAACCCACTTAACATAATTCATTTAGATTCTCCTGCAAAAATTATCCTTTCTTGCACATATTTTTACATAGGTATAGCAATGATAAATGCACAACTTTGTTCCATTTTTTCACTAAGTATTGTATCATACGCATTCTCCTATACAGTATGTGTTTTTATCAGTTGCATTACAATCCCTTAGTCCGATATGTAATCAACTACCTTGCTCTTTAGGCTGTTTTCTGTTTGTTTTTAATGTTATAGATAATACTACTATAAACATTTGTAAACAAACTTTTTGTCTTGTAGTCTATTTTCTTGGAATGTATTTCCTGAAGCAGAACTACTATGTCAAAACAATATAAAAATCAGTATGACTCCTACTAAGCATTTCCAAATTGTCCTTCATATGGGCTGTATCTATTTATACTACCAAAAGAAACATGAGTGTACTTATGTCCCTGTAACTGACCTATATATATTTTAAAAAATGAATGTGACAGATTAAAAAAAAAACAATTCGTTTCTTTTATTTATATTTGCTAATATGAACATTTTCATTGTTTTTTACATATAGTTCATTTTATGAATTGGCTATTCACATCCATTAGCTATTTATTTATCATGGTCTTGACAATTCCTCTATATTCAAATAAGCGCCATAAGCTTCTATTTAAAGGAGCAAAATTAATAAAGTTTAGACACATTGTCTTTGTCTTACTAAAACTGCAAAGAATTCTAGGATTAAGATTATCAATCTAGGGGCACAGCACGAAATTAATGTAACCCTACCAAGCTCTTATTAAATGCCATGGAATAAAATAATAAAAATAATTATTACCATTTATTTAGTATTACTGTGTATGAGGCATGGTAGTAAGCACTTCATTTTATATTATTTCACTACATTCTCACAATCACAATCCAAAATATTCTTATCCCACTTTACAGATAGGGAAACTGAAATTTTGCAATTTAAACAATCGGCCCGTGGTCACTCAATTAGCATGTGGCCAAGTCAACATTAAAACTGTTTCCAGCAAGTCAACTCTACGGCAAACAAAATGTCTGCCTACAATAACGGGGACATTTTCAGTGTTTAAGTAAAATATAAACTTTTTAAAATCTAAGAGCACATACACATAAATATATCCAACAGTCATTTAAAAATACTCTAGTTAATAACAAAATCAATTATTTTATTCTATCTTAATAGGAAATTAACACTTATTTGGGGCCCATGATTTCATTACTTGTGAGCATATTGGAATATTCAATTCAAATGAACAATAGTTGGATCAGCACACATTTATTCTGACCTCCAAGTCATTACATACATTACAATACAAAATGCCTATGAAGAATAAACTCTTCTTTTTTTTTTTTTTTTTTTTTTTTTACTTTTAGTACTTTTTGGCACTAAGTTAATGTTTATTAAGAAAGAGAAATATATTCTACATCACTATTCATTTAATTCCACAACTATTCCAAGTATTGACTATGGGCAAATATTAAAGTAGGCCCTTAGGACTGAGAGAATGAATATAATGATAAATAAGACTTAATTTTGCCTCTAAGTTATCCTCAAGTTGGAGAGACTATATAAACAAATATTATATAAGGCAAAATAATTATTAAGTCGAACATAAACCACATTTTGGGGCCCACCAAAGAAGTGGCAATTAATTCTCAGTGGAATTATACATGAAAGACTATAAACAAATAAAGGGGTCATGGTACCACCTTACCATACTGGAAAAAGTATGAGCAAAGATAAAAATGCATGGAACTTGACACATAGTCTGCTCTCCAACAGATTATGAATACCAGAGCATGACTACAACACAAGGTACTGGTAAAATGTACCAGGAAATGAAGCCGCTGAAACCCGGTCCCAATCTCCTGATCAGCCTGGACTTCCTTTACCTTCCTTTACGTGCTACATTCCATCTGAGTCAAACCCCACTATCCTATGAACACACCTCCTACCTGCCTACCTTGTCTTCTCTGAACATAATTAGATTCACCTGCTTGCTATTCTTTCTGCCTCATGTCTTCCCATCTAATATTTAACCAAACAAATTTTAAAGACTTTCCTAACCTACCTAACTGCACAAAAATCTTTTTTCTTTTTTTGTTTTTTTTTTTTTCCCTTTGAGATGGAGTCTCACTCTGTAGCCCAAGTTGGAGTGCAGTGGCACGATCTTGGCTCACTGCAACCTCTGCCTCCCAGGCTCAAGCAATTCTCATGCCTCAGACTTCCTAGTAGCTGAGACTACAGGTACATGCCACCATTCCTGGCTAATTTTTTGTATTTTAGTATAGATAGGGTTTTACCATGTTGCCCAGGGTGGTCTGGAACTCCTGAGCTCAGGTGATCCACCCGCCTCAGCCTCCCATAGTGCTGGATTTATAGGCATTAGCCACTGCACCTGGCCTCATCTCTGTTTTATGTGTCTCTTACTTTTGTTACTTATATAAATATCCTCTTAATTGGACCATATATTTTTTGTACACAGGTCTTCCCAAATACATCTTCAAATTACTCATTCACTCAACAAATTTTGTAAGCATCTACAATAAGCCAGGTACTGAGCTGGCTGAAGATAAGTAAGCACAGTCCCTGCTCCAAAGCAGCTCCATGTCTGACCACAGCACAGAGGAGTGGTAAGAGGATAGGCCTTCCTTAAAGCCATACTACCCAGGTTTGAATCCCAGCTTCTCCACTTACTACCTACATAACCTAACCTGTTGGAACCTCAGTGACACAAGGATAATAACCTCAACCTCAGTGTTGTGAGCAACACAATTCATTCTACATCTCCACAGCTTTTTGACACATAGTGACTATTCAGCAAATTTTGTTCACCAAAATGCCATCACTACTGACTGACCAAGAAATGAATATTTTCAACATAAATAAGGAAGTCTGGAACAAAGAGGTTGTTCCCTTAGTAAAACTGTCTAAATTTCCAAACTTGTAAAACAGGCAGCAATAACAAAAAAAACCCTTCATAGTCAAGTAGTTATATGGAGAGGTTTGTAAATGATGGGAAAGCCTCTGAAATTTCTTTTGATATCTACAATTTTCCAAAAAGTGATTATTTTACCTAGGTAAATTGGTTTAGTCCCTTGGAATCTCCCTTTCTACATTAAAGAAAATGTGTCTGACCAATGGTAGTTGCTATTTGTTTGTACTTCTAACACATTCCCCTTCTCCCTCCATCCTAAGTAAAGACGAGAAGTCCATCCTCCATGATCCTCCACAGCACTTCAGTACAGCAGCACAAGGCAAAAACTAACAAACAATGCAAATACTTAAGTCCCTGATTTTCATTTTATGGCTATGTGAAGATAGAAGAAGGCTTATCAAAGCAACGTTTCCTCTACTGACAGGTCTCTCCCTAAGAGAGCAACAACAGCTATTGGGTTCAGCTCCATCACTTACTGGGAATTCTTAGGCAAATCACTTAATCTCTCTAGGCCTTAGTGTTCTCCTCATATGTGAGATGGGGATATTATATGATTAAGACCCTTGAAGTGTTAGTACAATCTGACATATAATAAGCACTTAATGGTAATTCCTGTTACAAAGCCTGCATTTCCCAGTCCAGTTACACAAATGATATTAGGACTGGATGCCTCCAGAAGGAGCAAAAGAACTTCCTAAGCTGGCTAAGCAATGACTGCTGAGCAGAGGGATACTTTCTGACTTTTGGGATTTAAAATATCAACAGCCTTGACCATCATCAGTGGTACCTAGCAACACATACAACCACAGGCCCTTCTCTTCTCTCTTTCACAAACTGCTAAATCTTCCTCATTCAGGACTGAGGTTCAGACAAGACTTCCTTCAGTAAGTATTCCAGTTTGATTTAAAAGGTAGGGGTAAAGTGCAATGACAGAAACAAGAAAGGACTACAAGTAACTAGATTAGAAGTACTGGACATAATTAAAGAATCAGATCCTCACAACAACCCTTTGAGGTCTTGATTAGTATTTCCTTCTTTTGGTGTGGAAATAGAAAGAAAGAGTAACTTGCTAAGTCATTGCTAAGTGACTTCAGTGTGCTGACGAGTTCAATTTAAATCCAGGTCTGCCGTCCTGCAAAGCAGATGTTCTTTCACTCTGCCATACTACAGGCAATTACTTTGCCTTCTGTAAGTCAGGACTGAACCAAAGACCTAAAGAAGAAAATGTATAATCAACAGTTGTAACTATTTCACTCTCTCAATTTCATCAATGATATAAATTTCCTCTGAAGTTTCGCCCATACCAGCAAATAAATGTATGTTCCTTTGCTACACACATTACAATACATGACTAATCCATCATCATGTCATAGGGAGAAAATGAATCAGGCACATTATACATAGAAAAGTAGCTAAACTTCACCTATAACAAGGAAAAGATAAAAGGATGCTCCAAAAGTTGGAGAAAAATCAATATGCTTTTCTTGATGCACTGCATTCTAGAAATGGCCAAGGCCAGTAGTCACCTGGTAATGGTCACTGGATTTGACAACTGACTCTTAACAGAGAAAGGTTTTCATGCATCTAGAAATAAATCCAAGGTCAACTTGAATCAGTTATTCTTTTCCTCCAAAATACACTCAGGTTACCACAAGAAGTGAGGCTCGAGGTAAAGCTATATGGTAAACACCAGAGAGGACTTGTTTATTATTGTACATAGTCACTGAATCAATAGCTAGACTAAGCTAAAAACTCTTGCTTACCAACTCTTGTTATTCGTTTGACAAATGTCTGTTGAACACATAAAGGTGCTCAGTAAACAAAGATGAGCCATAATCCCTTTTCCTAATAAACTCACATTCCAGCCAGGGAAAAGGTTGTTTAAATAGTTATCTAAAATACCACGTGACAAGGGATACTATTATGCAAGCCATCTAAATAAAGGACTCCCACTACAGAGAAGTGAATAATTATTACTTCTTGAAGTAGTCAAAAAGGCTTCACAGTGTTAAATATGTGTATGTGTATGCACATGCGTGTGCTGGCAACCACACTAATACCACATTAACACATGAGCCTGGCCTAACCAAAGGCATGCAAGTAAGGCAGTAGTATACACAGTCAAAGAATGGAAGTCAAAGAATGGAAGAATGCTGCTTGTGGTCGCAATGAACATATGTATCAAATGGCTGCTAACATAAATGCTTCTAGGGTTCAAATGAATGTCAAAAAAGCAGCAAAGGAAATTTGACAAGTGTCAACTAACTCTCTGCCACAGTGTCTCAAGGGCTTGAAAAGGCTGTGATAAACTGGAATAGTGTTCTGATTTTTCAAGTGAAGACAGAAATCAGATTTATCCGACTAATAAAAAGCAATTTTTAAGACAGTATACAAGCCACACCAAAATGTATCTAGATAAGCTTCATCCTGGGGACTGAGAATCTGCAACTTCTGATGCTCAATATAAAGTGGAGGAAAGACTGGGAACAGACTGTGAAGGGCCTTGAATATCATACTAAGGAGTTTCAACTCTACGTTGTCCCTGTGGGTATCATGGAATAAGATGAGCACATAACATATTCCAGAAAAACATCCGTCAAACTGTTTCAGCATGTCTGAAATGACTGGCTACTGGCATGATGGACATGGGTCACAAAAGAGCCTGGAAATGGGGTAGACCAGTTATAAGGTAATAACATTTGTCTGGGTGAGAAATAATGAAGACCTGGTCAGCCAAAGAAATGGAGAGCAGAAGATGGGCTTTTAAAGAGAGAGGTCAGTTATAGACTAAGGGGTTGTGAAAAAGAGAGGAGCAAGAACAGATGGCAGGAGGGCACACCTGAAAAGACTCTGCAAGAGAACCCTGTCTGAAAGAACTCCAGTGCTGTGGTCTTTCCTCCTGCTTCTTGTATCTGTTATGGTTTTCTCAAACATCAGAATTACAGAATCAGTTTTCTCCCAAACCAAATGTATTACTATTGCAGACTTAAAATATATATATATCAATCTCTAACTAAACAGGAATAATTTCTGAACACCTAAGGAATGTAACAGGTTAATGAAAACAAGAATTTAGTTTGGTTATGAAGGAAAAAATCTATCTCAGGAGTAAAGGTCACCTTCAGTTACAGAATACATTTTTAGGTGGATGCCTAGGATTCTGGCATGACTAGTCATACAGACAAACATTCGGAAACTGTCCCATAAATTGTCAGCTTTCTTCACTTGGGTCTTCTAATATGTATATTCTCTATAACAAACCATTTTAGAGGTATAGCATTTTCGTGAAATAGCTGCTTTTTCCTAACATTTTTGACATGTTTTGCTTAGCAAGACTCACCTCTGTGCTCTAATTGCTTCAGTTCATAACTTTGCAGAATATTCTTTTATTATCAGCATTTTCAGATATATTTTTTTGTCAAACCCGAAATTAACTTCTTTATATTTACTGATAATACAATATATAACCTGAGTGGTACGTGATACCATACAAAACTATGCTATCCCCATGCCCCCACCCCAAAACAGTGAAATAGAAAACTGCTTCCATGAAGATATAGGTTAGAATCAAATCAAAAGCTGCTTTTGGACACATGCATCAATTGCATCCGAATTCAAAGTTTAGATGCCAGCTATTCATGTGAGTGAGCTTAACCATTTGATCTTCTGCAAGGTTCCTCTTGAGCCTATTAAAATAAAAACTATGTGGTAAGAAGATACAGCAAGGCCTGCAATACAGTGCACAGAATGACAAAAACAGAGAAGTGGAGAGGACTTGGAAGACCATAGGAAGAAGGTAGGTTGAGCTAGCATACATAAATGGGTAACTATAGCCTTTCACTTTTTAAAAATTGTTTCTTTTCTATAAGATAATCATTTTATCCCCCAACTAAAGTTAGTTATACATTGGTTTGATTATATATTTCTGTGCACCACAATATAAACAGAGCTTTGTTTGGCAAAAAATAACTTGATAGAGTCATATGGTGTTACTTTTTACCTCAGTGTTACTGAAAACTACAGCATGGTGATGGAATGCAGAATTAAAGAGGGTCTAACAACAGATAAACTTGCTTACCTTTAAGTTTACACCTAAACCTATGCCTTAAAAGTTTATGCCATAAACTTGGGCTATGGCTAAACTTAGGCACACCCTTCTAATAAGGAAATATATATCAAAGGACTGAGTTAAACAGTCAAACAGAAAATAGAAACTACTGCTCACTTAACCTTCAAATCAGAGTCCTTTTCTGTGCTCTCAAAAGGGAAAAGTGTTATTAACCTATTAATGACAGTATGTTACAGATAGCGCTGAGGGAAATTCAAGGAAATCAGTAGGTCATACATTTGGCAACACTCTTCTGTACATCTCTCACCCGCAAAGAGATTGTTTGTCACTCAACTGTAAGCTTCCTGAATAAGGGTTATTCATCGTTTTATCCCCCACAGTACTCAAAACAGCAACTGGTATGAGAAGACCTTTGGTAATGGCTACCAGACTGGCAACTAAAATTCTCTAGGAAACAAAATTCTTATTCAAAATCAGCCTCCAGGCATATTGAGCACTTCTGAAGGTACTGCTGTATGGGGGAAACGGAAGAAGCTTTACAAAAACAGTAAAGGACATGGTCTTAAATGAGTCTTCTCCCAAAAACACCTGAGGTGAGCATACAATAATAAACAGAATTTGTGCACATAGAGGCTTAATACGATGGAATACCAAGAAAAGAGACCAGATGGAATGATTAGTGATTGTCTGATGCAGTAAAAAACTCTCTGAGAGAAATGGAAGAAGTGAATGCCAGATAGTTTTGTTTTGCTCATTTCAGCACAGGAACAGGACACAAAGGGCCAGAGCTCAATTGGGACTTGCAGTGGAATGGCACATCCATAAATCACTGGGCTGGTCCACAACAAACCTATAACATCATGCCTACATTATCTCATTTGGACTGCTTTGAAAATGAGTTCTCCTGCTTATAAAATACTGAAGGATTAGAAACCAGAGACTGAGCCTGTAGGGACTAGAGTCTTCCTCTCAGAAACATTCAGATGTTTTTTTTTTCCTTCAAATAAAATCTCCTATGAACCCAATACATAAACATAAAATCTGAACTGCTCTGGTTACCAGAAGTACACTGAAATTCTGCTTGAGGCCTTCCATATAATCACTGTGGTTGTAAAATTTGTCTAAGTGAGTCCCGACTACTCACCTGACAGAAAGGTTAGCACCTACTGAGACAGTGAATGGAAGAGCCAGAACTAGAATCCAGAAGTGCAAACACTCAGACAAGGGCTCTACCTACTACATGCCATGCCACTTCTAAAAACCAAAGGAAGAAAATATGATTCATACTCACCATCTCTGTTCAGCCACTGCTTTCTTGTTCTGTACAAAAGGAGCTTGTTGTGGACATACGGTAAAAGGAACTTGACACACCAGCTCTCCACACCCAGTTTGTTTTCAACAAGGACTATGGGACTCCGGTTATACCTAGCTTCAGGACATGGGATCAGGCCAATTTCATCTCTTAATATGTAAAACATAAGAAAAGAATTAAAAATAAGAATACTAACCTTTTCAACATATTTCTAATTTCAGAATATTTTTAAAACCTCACATATTTCCTTCTTCCTTAAAAATTTTATTTAGCTCACTTACTGGGATTGGCAGATGTTAACAGTGACAAGAATATGGTAAACCAGTATGCTGTACTCTCTGTTGACAGGAGTGAAAACTGGTCTTGCCTTTGGACAGCAACTTAAAAATGTCTTTCAAAATTTTGAATGAATATGCCCTTTGATCCAGCAATTCAACCGCCCAGAAATTATCCTATGCCAAAATACATGAATCAGATGGTCACTGCAGTGTTGCAACAAAACTAAAAACAATCTAAATGTTTATCAAGATAAGACCAGTAAAATAAATATGGCCCATCCACATAATCAAGCCATTAAAAAACAATGAGGTAGATCTGTGTGTTGATATAAAAAAAGGTGCCAAGATATATTAAATGAAAAACAACAACAACAACAACAACAACAAAAAAGCAAAATGCTGAACACAATGTACAGCACAAAGCCTTTGTATAATTTCTTTAGAAGATATACAGATGCATTAAAAATTTTCTTGGAAGGATAACAAGAAATTTTTGAAGACAGAAAGGTGTTAAGGAAGGATTTTATTTTTATACAGTTTCAATTATCTAGCAACTTCAATGTATTTCTATTTTTTAAATGTCAACAAATGTGTTTATGCCTGCCTGCTAATAAATGCATGTGGTCCAGAAACAAAGTATCAACAACAAGAACAAAAGTGATTTTATCAGTGAGATTTGGGGCCATTTTTTCTTCTTTATACATTCCTGAATTTAAAAGCCACCCAAATAGATGTTAAAACACAAAATACATTCCAGAATTCAATCATTTTCATCTGTAGTAGCATCTATAGCCCTCAATCCTCCTCAATTTAAGCTGAAAATTAGCATTAAAGGTAGAGATTTAACAAACAATATGTAGGGCATTTGACTTACTTAGTAAATCAATCAGTAAACAAAAAATTTTTGCAAAACACACTCACATGCCTTTCAGCTATAAAGGAAGTTACAATTCTTGCCTACACAAAGCTTCCTTTTCAAACAGAATGTCCTCTGTTTAATTAATGAATAACAAGAAGCTTTTTAACAGTAAGAGCAGTCGAAATAAGTATTTTTAGAGTGTCAATATGGATATTTAAAACATGTCTTTAAAAAGTAGAATAATGAACTGGTTTTCAGAGTTTGTGTGAGACATTATCTATTATATCCCTGGCATTCCCTTACCAAGAACACAGCGGTTTCATAGACCCAAAAAAGGGGAAACTGGTTCAATTACAGAGTATGAGAAACACCCTGTCATTTTGTTGGGCAACTATCACAAACTAGTAGGAGGCTGTGGATTTAAAATAAAACCCTACTGGAAATGAAACTGGATAGCTTAGAGGTAATCTACTTTCTACTGATCCCTTAATCAGTGACACAGGGGTTTATCAAAAAAAAGGGTATCTTAGGGGTTGCAAGTCATGAACAATTCTTTCAAGCTAATTTAACCCTCAAGTAGATTGTGGGATCTATGGATTTTTGTCCTTGCAGTTGGTTCAGTTGACTCAAGGGTATTTTGATATACTATAGCAATATTATCATTTTTCTGATGACCTAACAGTGTACTAGGTACTTTGTTAGGTTCTAAATTCAAAAGGAATAAAGCAAGTGGTCTCAGACTTCAAAGAGCTAAAGTCTTGCTGGGGAGCTGTGTCAATTTCCCTAATAAAATGCTACCCACTTAATACAAATAAAGTCCTGTAGGAAGAATATGGACAATGCTGAAAGAGCACCTGAGGTCAATGCCCAGTATTTCAAAATACATTTTTTGGATCTCTATTTGGTGATATTAACCTGCAATCTATCTAATTCATTATGACCCCTAGCCATATCTAGCTATACTTGACTAATATACGACTCAATCTCTAGTGTTTTCTGATGTTTGTGTTTCACTAAATGAATATTAAAAAATTAAACTAAGTAAAACTAAATAATAAACACAATGTGATCACTTCAGGGAATTCTGTTCTCTGAGCCATAATAACCTACTTACAACACTTCAAAGAACTGCAAGAGTCAATAACATAAATGTTACAGTAACAAGAATAAAAGAATCCTGTTTCCAGGTATGGTTTGTTTTGGGGGGCAGTTTTTTACTTTTTATAGTTAAAACTCACAATGTAAAACCCTGTCTTGCTTACTAATTAAACTGGGCTTAAAATGCCCAACTAATAATTTGGTATCTAAACTACAGGAAAGAGCCATCTGCACAACTGAAAAACACATTGCTTTGACTGGCTGTTCTTTCAAGAAATACTTTATAAAATAAAAATGGCTTGGACTTAGCAGGTGCCAAATAACTGCTTCCTGACAGGCTGATTATCCTTGTACTTCAATGATAATATTCAAATTAATAGTTTTCATTTCTTGACCCTCTAAGAGAACATTATCTCTGATTTTCTTCTAATAAAGTATACTGAAAACAGCATGTGTCCTAACACCTGGATGGAAATATATAGACATACACACACACATGCACATACAAATCAATATCACGTCATTTTGTTTTCTATAGACTTCAGTTTCCTCATTTGTAAAATGGGCTAGATCTTACCCAGCTTTCACATTTTATGGCTGAGAAACCTAGAAGCTATTTTCATGTAAGGAGAATAAAAACAGTCTTAACAGATAATGTAAAGCATTAGGGGTAAAAAACACATGAAAAGGGGTAGTAGAGTGTGGAGACAAAAGTACTTGATTGGAAGTCCAGAGTTGTAGTTAGTTTCCATTGTATCTACTGACAGGCAATGCGAATTTGACAAGTCACTTGCTATCAGTACCCTCATCTGAAATACAGGAATAATATCTTCCCCACTTGTTCTGGAAACAAAATAATGTCATGTGAAGCATGTGGGAAACTACAAAGTGTTAAGCAAGATGAAAGACCGTACCATTAATTCATTTAAGAGCCTTTAGTCTACCAGTAGATTTAGATGGTTAATAGATAACGGAAAGCCAAGGCAAAGAATTTAAGCCTTTGTCAAGTCATATAAACTCTAAAATACAGTGTTATGCTGTTTCCTAAAAAGCATAACATGTACTTTGTAAAAACAGGTCAGTAAGCTTCCAAATAATAGTGTGCTTGACTTCAGACTTCTGTGCCTTGTCCCTTAGGTCACAGTTCACTTTTTTCCAGCCAATTTTCAATGGGAGTCTTTCCAGAATCATTTTAAAGTTGGAAAGGACTACATTCCTCTGTCATTTTATCCGATGAGGGAACTGAAGCTCAGTGGGGTTTATAAGGATTACCTAAGGTCATATTGCTAGTGGCTAAGTTAATACTTAGCCTCAAACCCTTGACACTAGAATGAAGAGCAAAACAGGATTTAGATCAATTCCTTCTATTTCTCTGGCAATTTAAATTCTAATTCCATACTCAAGAAACATTGGAAAACATAGGGGAAAAAAAAAAAAAACTAAAAGTCTTTTTTTTTTTTTTTTTGGTAGAGATGGAGTCCTACTATGTTGATCGGGCTGATCTCAAACTCCTGGCCTCAAGTGATCCTCCTACCTCAGCCTCCTGAAGTGTTTGGATTACAGGTGTTACTGTGCCCAGCTGGGTATACATCCTTTTTTTCCCTGAGTATTTTCAAAAAGTGAGATCATATTGAACATATTCTATAATCCTTTGGGGAAAAAAACTGAGCAATTCACATTAAACATTTTCCCACATAATCAATTTTGATATTTTTAAATGTTTCCAATGAATATGCTATAAATATCAAAAATATTTCTAGTTATTTCTTAACAAAATAGTCTTATGAGAGAAATGTTTACATTCTTTCACTACCAATATATTACACTCTTTTACTTTGTTAGGTTTCTGGCCATTTACATTCCTGGTATTTAACAAGGTGTTCAAGTAACTGCATTACTAAGAAGATCGTAAGATTTTTAAAGACATGACGGTTTGGGACAGCAATCAAGTTCTAATCATACTCATTATTTAGGTTACCTTCATCACAGGCTGCTCCAAGGCAGAGCAACATGGAATGAACCAGCACATTTACTTAAGATCACACACAGTACGACATCACTTTCAGCACCTCACTTCACAATGGGGATCCATTCACTGGCTTCCAGATGATGTTCAAAGTTCATGTAACACTGATAATTGACTCTGTTGTCATGTTTAGACAGCTTCTCCTGTCTGTTCTTTTCAGAAACACCATCAACTAGAATAGAGCCACTTATTATCCACAAAAGTTGTAACAACCAGCTTACCTTCTGGGAGAGATGAATGGTACCCAAATACTAAATCTGAATCCTGTAATGTGGAGCAACCAAACAGGAAACAGTCCAAGGATTCAGGATATGGTAAAAACATTTTAAATCTAAATAGTAGTTACTTTAGTTTTGTTCTTCCCCCACTCCCTCGAAAGGACTGGAATTTTTTCCAGCGTGACCAAAAAGGAAAGCTAGTAAAATATCTAAAGGAACTGACCCTTGTACATTGATAATTAAAATTCTACTGGTGATTTAGATATTTCAGAAACCTCACAGGCTTTCTCATTAATTCCAAAGACCATCAACTTCATGTTTCACTGAAATTATATTTCTGACCTTATTTAGAAAAAGCTACACAAATCACTACTGTTTATTGTTTGTTATTTGCCGTGCATGGTTAGGTTTTACATATATTATTTTATTTTGCAAAATAATCTCATAAAGTAGAAACTTTGATCCCATTTTACAGATGGTCTTGTCTAAGTCTAGTCAGTTAATAAATGGCAACATTCAAATTCAGTTAGACAGCTTAGACTGGAAAAATCTAAATCCAAATTTTTACAACGATACTACACTATTATTTAAATAAATAAATAAAAATCAAGTATAAGAAGCCCAGAAGACTCTGCTTTTCTATTCTTCAGTTTACCTTGCAGGCAATCTAAAACTATCTTTCATTATTCTTTATTAAGAAATTTTCACTGGTGTCTACCCATTGCCTTAGAAGTATACATCCCTGAGCAACTCTTCTTCACTTCTCAGGTCTTACTCAGTTTAAATGCTATGGCCTCAGAAAGAACTATCTTGACCTTCTCATCTAAATCAGGCCTCCTTGTTACTATTCTATGCACCCTTCTTACTTTTTCTGACTCTTTTCATAATCTGTATGTTGACTATTTAAAGTTCCATTAGGACAGGGGCCATGCGTGGTTTGTTCATTAAACCACCTAGCTTTTAACCCTGTATACCCAGAGACCAGCACTGTGCCTAACAAACAGAGGTACTCTTTTGTGGAATGTATGAATGGAATGAAAGAAATTAAACAAGAGTCAAGGACTTCCATAATCTGGCCCTACTGTACCTTCTCAGTCACATTTTGCTTCTTTAGGTTAATTCACTGCTCCCTGTGAAGGTCTCTGGCTCCCTCTGAGACTACAAATCCCATCCAGACTTAAATATTCAGCTTATAACCCACCTCCACTAAGAACCCTATCCCAGACATAATCAGCCTCCTCTCCACTTCTATTAGACTCCCATAGCACTTGCTCACCATGCTGCCATCTAACCTTTACTATAAACTACTTCGTGGGGTGAATTTACCGTTCATGCAGTACGTCTTAGGTCTCATCTACAGCTGCACTGTGCAACACAGCAGTCACTGGGCACATGGAGCCTCTATGTACAAATCAATTAAAATTAAATAAAATTTAAAATTCAGTTCTTCTTCACATGAGACACATTTCAAGTGCTCAATAGCTACAATGGCTAGTGGCTACCATACTGAACAGCACAGACACAGAAAATTTCCACCATTACAGACATTTCTGTTAGTGTCTTGAGTACAAGAACTGTATTTTAAACTTCTATTTCACACAGTAAAGATGGTACCTACAACACCTCATAAATAGTGAGAGTTCAATAAATATTTAATAGAAAAAACAATAACTTGCTGGACAAGATAATTTTAACATGACTATTTACATTGTAAACTGATGTCTTCTACATTAGCATAGGATCTATATACTAAGTTAAAGACTACTCCAGGTCAAGTTTTCAGTTTCAGAGAACCCAATATGATTATCTAATAGTCAACCATACACACATTTGTATAGTATTATCCAGTTTACAAAGTGCTTCATATTCACCAATCATTTGGCCAATATATTTCTGTTTAGGAACACAGAGATTCAGGGTAAGCCTAATATTTACTGAGTGGCAACTAAGTACCACTGTGTGAGGTGATTCTGCTGTGTTCTCATCAGCCTCACAAGATCAAGAGGAAACTGAGGCTGAGAGAAGGTACCTATTCACATCATACAGTAACAAAATCCACATCTCACCACTGCATCCTCAACTCCTGGCTAAATATTGCTACATAAACAAAGTCATAGTATTTAATGAAGAAGATGTTCACTAGTAAAATTACAATCTATCTTGAGTTTAGAGCAGGAAAGCAAAAAGAATGAAAAACTTTCACAATACTGAAAGTGTAATTAGATACAGTAAAGTTAGATACAAACATTACAGATAACGCCTTTAACAAAAACAAAAAACAAAAAAACCACAGCCTCTTTATTTTGGGAGTAAAAGGGCTAAATTAAGGGAAGAAAGTGCAGGCAATTTTGAAAAGCCCAAATTATAAGGCACTTAAAAAGATGTATAGTAATATTATTGAAGATAGTTTTATTGTGGGGAATATACACTAAAATATAGCCGATGACTAGTATTAAACATTGAGATAAGCTATTTAAATGCTGAAGACCTATATTACCAATCTTACATTATTCCAAATATCCAACTTATCTCAAAGTTTTATATCTCGAATGAACCAAATTCTTATAAATAAAATTATACATTGCCGGGCGCGGTGGCTCAAGCCTGTAATCCCAGCACTCTGGGAGGCCGAGGCGGGTGGATCACGAGGTCGAGAGATCGAGACCATCCTGGTCAACATGGTGAAAACCCGTCTCTACTAAAAATACAAAAAATTAGCTGGGCATGGTGGCGTGTGCCTGTAATCCCAGCTACTTAGGCGGCTGAGGCAGGAGAACTGCCTGAACCCAGGAGGCGGAGGTTGTGGTGAGCCGAGATCGCGCCATTGCACTCCAGCCTGGGTAACAAGAGTGAAACTCCGTCTCAAAAAAAAAAAAAAAAAAAAAAAAAAAATTATACATTTAGAATATATTAATGAGGTTTTACAGTAGAAAAAGGATTAAGGAGGGGCATTAAAGTCCTTCAAGAGTTTCCATAAATGTGATCCACAAGAATTGGGACATGTTCCAAACTGCACTGTGTTAACCTGCCAAGCCAATGAACATTCAATCTTGGTGTCTTCAAATATAATGATGCTCTTTTAGTAGTCTAAAAGAGAAGGGAAACTAAGATGATTACTCCATGTTTTATTAGACTTCTAATCTCTGCAGTAATTTCTCCTAGAAAAATGATAACAGTGATGAGAAAATACACTCTTCCTTTGTCCAACTTTATTTATTTATTTATTTATTTATTTATTTGAGGTTGTCTCTTACTTGCACTAAGGCTCCCATTCTCAAAAAGAAATCGAAGGGCTGATATACAGCAAGGCATCAAAGCATTCTTTAGAAGGCTCAGCAACCACTATGGATACTGCCAGGAAATCATTCCAAACACTCTCATTTTGAAAAAGGCAGCAGTCATAAGGGGAAGGGAAGTGGATGCTGTCAGAGGTGGCAGGTGTGTTTTGAGGCCAGCAGTGTTTTGTTTTTAATGAGGCACAGTTGCGCGTTTCCAATTGTGTGCCACAAGGGAGCAAGACATCCGAGGGCTTCTTATCTCTTTTACAATCATCACCTTGGAGGAAAAGAACACTTTGGTAAGATACAAGTCTGGCAAGCTCTTCAGGCAGAAAAGCTGAACCGGTTAGAACACTTAACCAAAAAAAAAAAAAAAAAAAAAAAAAAAAAAGGCATGCGTTCCAGCCTGAAAAATAAAAGTAAAAATAAACTCCAAAAACAATTGGATAAAGCGAAAGTTATGCAACTAGATACTACGTTTCTTCCCTTTGAGGAGGAAGAGGCATGGGAAAGGAGGTACATTGTTGCTTCTTCCCTACAACTTTGTGTAATGTAGATCTCTCTCAATAGCTTTTTCACTCCTTACATTAAAAGCGAAGTGTTACAAAGAGTAGACTCTTGCGGTATCTTCCCAGAGTACAAGTAAAAGGGAAAAGATACATGTGTCAGTCCTACAGTGTCCCGTTAAAGTGGGCAGCAGTGCTGGGATAAAAATGAGTTAACATGCTCCTTTTAACTATAAATCCGCTTATGCTAAAAAGTGTCGCGGTTTCATTTGCTTTATCCCAGACTCCACACTGCGCCCATAGAAGCTTCGCTGGAGAACGCTCTGTTCACCTTCAAAACAGTGTTTTATCGGAGTCACTTTACAATTTGGTGGCAAGTAAGGCGAAAGTCAAAAGCAGCCTCAAACCACCCTTAGTAAATTGAGGCGTGTGGGGCTCATTAAGAATAAGAGGATCGGTTAACCCCTCTTGCCAACGTCCGGGATGAATCTCAAGAGTTGTGTTTACAAGGCAGACACGGACCCACACTGTTGCGTGTGCGCCCGTGGACGCACAGAGGTAGGATGTGGACCTACGGGTGAAGTCTTTGGAGTTTCGTGAACTCCTAGGAAAAGCTGGGGAGGGAGAAAGTCGTTCCGTTTTGATTTTTCGAGGTCACTTCTAGGGACTCGTCCGCGAGCGCGTTCCGGTAGCGGAAAGCCGGGCCCGCGGCGGCCGACAATGATCCCGCCCGACACGGCTCTGCCTCCTCCCTAGAAGGGCGCGTGGGCCGGGACCCGCGGTCCGCCAGCTGCCCGAGGTCGGCTGGACGCTTGGCCCCGCCCCCGCCCGCTCCCGACGACCCTCGGAGGCAGCGGAGGCGTGCGACTCACATGTGCGGGTTCCTCCTGAAGGCGTTAGTGATGTCCTTCACCACCCGCTGCACCAGCACCGCCACTTCCTCGTTCGACTCGGCCATGTTGGCGGCGGCCGCGGCGGTTCGGGCGCGCCTCCGCAAGAGCCGGGCCGCCGGCGGGAGTTCCGCGGGGAGCGCGCGCGCGGGTGCGCCGGCTTGACCGCGCCCCCGCCGCCGCGGCCGCCGCCGAGCACTTCCGGGTCAGCCAGCCGGCGGCCTGGGCGTGGCGCTGGCTGGAAGGAGTTCGCCTCCGCGCGGGTAACGAGTTTCTAAGCGTCAGAAACGATGCTGTACATTTGTTTGCAAAGTTCTCTCAGGCTGCCGATTTTGTTATTTTATTTTTTAGTTCACTAGGAACCGAGGAGAAAGGAGACCTCGAGACACACTCCCCGAGAGTCAAGAGACCTGCCTGCACCCTCAGCCAGGTCCGGGCATCGTCTGAGGGTGCAGGGCCTCTTGACAGTCCTGGGCGTTTTTCAGAGCTTGTCCGCTTTATTTTCCCAACTGGAGGGAAGAGGAGGTCCCGAGGTGTTAGGGCGGAGCGCGTCCCTATTTGACCGTGTTGGTGACCCCCTTACTAACTGTGCCAATTTCCGTCTCTGAACTTGAAAGCAGTCCTTTTTAAGAACATTAAAATTCTAAAGTTTATTAAAGGAAGACAAAGGAAAGTGAAGGAAAAGTTTGCCATCTGGATGTAGGAAGCAGAAGTGATAGTTCTTAGATTTTTCTATCTCATTTTGCACTACATTTGGTAGCCTTTGCATCAATTTTGGAATTAAAGGATCAAGACCCTGATAGGGTTTGGTCATAATAGCAAAAATGGATTTTTGTAGGAAAAACGAGCTTTCTAGTTTATTTGGGATTTTGAAATGACATAACTAAAATGTTTATATATCAAGCTTTTTTTTTTTTTTTTTTTTTTTTGGCAGAGTCTCGCTCTGTCACCAGGCTGGAGTGCAGTGGCTTGATCTCAGCTCACTGCAACCTCTGACTCCCAGGTTCAAGTGATTCTACTGCCTCAGCCTCCCGAGTGGCTGGGACTACAGGGGTGCACTGCCACGCCCAGCTAATTTTTGTATTTTTAGTAGAGACAGGGTTTCACTGTGTTGTCCAGGATGGTCTCGACCTCATCATCCGCCCACCCCGGCCTCCCAAAGTGCTGGGATTACTGGCATGAGCCACCGCTCCCAGCCTGAATCCTAAATCTGGCTGCCTTTGGTTCAATTTCTTTCTTCCACCCTTGACATGTTTCTTTAAAAACTTTTTTTTTCGGCCGGGCGAGGTGACTCAAGCCTGTAATCCCAGCACTTTGGGAGGCCGAGGCGGGTGGATCACGAGGTCGAGAGATCGAGACCATCCTGGTCAACATGGTGAAACCCCGTCTCTACTAAAAATACAAAAAATTAGCTGGGCATGGTGGCGCGTGCCTGTAATCCCAGCTGCTCAGGAGGCTGAGGCAGGAGAATTGCCTGAACCCAGGAGGCGGAGGTTGCGGTGAGCCGAGATCGCGCCATTGCACTCCAGCCTGGGTAACAAGAGTGAAACTCTGTCTCAAAATAAACAAACCAAACAAACAAACAAAAAAACCTTTTTTTTGTTTTCCAAAACAAGCTCATGGTGTGTTTAGTGTGAACATATGTGGAGCATTTGAAGTAGTGTTTATAATGGTTAAAAAAGCTATCTATTGGATGTAAAGTAAATGAGAAATATAAACGAAAAATATAAATTTATTATACTCAGTGGTCAATATTTCGTGTGGGTATGTTTATAAAGGCTGGACTAGGCCTTCTGGTTGTAAAAGAAGTGAGATAGAAGTTTTACAAAATTGTAGCAAGCAAGGTGGGACAGGTTTAAGAACTGGTAAAATCTGCCGGGTGCAGTGGCTTACACCTGTAATCCCAGCACTTTGGGAGACCGAGGCGGGTGGATCACCTGAGGTCAGGAGTTCGAGACCAGCTTGGCCAACATCTCTACTAAAAATACAAATTTAGCCGGACATGGTGCTGCATGCCTGTAGTCCCAGCTACTTGGGAGACTGAGGCAGGATAATCGCTTGAACCCGGGAGGTGGAGGTTGCAGTGAGCCAAAATGGTGCCACTGCACTCCAGCCTGGGCAAAGCAGTGAAAAGAGTGGAATATGTGTTTAGATTCCAAGGAAAAAGACAACTTTAAATATCCTGATTAAGAATGTTACACCAGTTCTTAAATTAGAATTCTTAAATTTAGTAAGTTTTCTTAATCAATATCTTGCATTCTAATGGCAGTGGGAAATAAATCCCAGCTTCTGGAGGCAGAGATCAAAGCAGCACACTCAGAAATAATGATTTTCCTCCAAAGGCTTTATTTAACAGGGAAAAAAGCAAACTTTGTCCCCAAATCTTGATGTAAAACTGATATTCCAGAAACAGAATTCCTCTGTGTAATTCTTTTTATGCCCTCTCCACATACAACCTCTTTATAGTCATTTGAAAGGCATGCATTATATCTTGTTTATTCTAAGAATTCACAAATTGTTTCACCCCAATCATTAAGTATCTAGTATGTTTAAAACTCGATTTTTGTTGTTGCTGCTGTCGTTGTTCTTAGAATTGGAACATATTAGAACTCTGAGCTAACTCTCTAATTTTACGGATAAGAAAATTGAAGACCAAAGAAGTTAAGATTTGAAATTCATGAATCCTTAATAATGATATATATGTACCCAAGAATAGGGTATGATAAATTTAGCATGCTATTGTTGAAGGACTAAAAGATTTATGTTCAGTGATCTGCAAAACACACTTATTGATAATAAAATATAGTATATAGTTTAAATAGCCAGTGAGAGGGTATTGATGAAATTATAAATTTATATGGCAAGATGCTATTTAGACACTTGCAAATCACATTATAATTAGAAGAATATATACCAAAGTATTAGAGGTATATTCATGGGACAATTTGACTATGTAATGCAAAGAGCAAAGTAACATTTGTAATTTAAGATTTTTTTGGCGGGGGTAAGATTGAGTTCCTGTTGCGCAGGCTGGAGTGCAGTGATACATGTTCAAGTGATTCTCCTGTGTCAGCCTCCTGAGAAGCTGGGATTAGAGACACACACCACCACGCCTGGCTGATTTTTCTATTTTTAGTAGAGACTAGGTTTCATTATGTTGGCCGGGCTGGTCTGGAATTCCTGACCTCAACTCCTGACCATCCACCTCGGCCTCCTAAAGTGCTGGGATTACATACTTGAGCCACTGCACCTGGCCTAAAAAAAGTTTTTTAAAGTATATATTAATAAAGAGCTGATATATTTATTTGTTAATTAGCCAACTATCTCATGTGCATACTAATTTTCTTACAGATACATTGATTTTTTTAAGTGACCGTGTCTATTATTATCATTTACATGGTTGTGGATATATTTTGACAATCTTCCTACCTACTCCCAAAAACCATGTTTCTTATTTTAAAAGACTAATTGATGACAGAAGAAAATGTGAATATGTAATGACCAAAACAAGTACCAAATGCAAATACAATGTAATTCAATTCAATTCTAATTGCATATATACGGTATATATTGTCCATAATACAGATAAAATTGTACATATATAGCAACAATCTTGCATGTTCATCACATGTACCCCAAAACCTAAAATGCAATAAAAAAAAAAAGAAAAAAGAAAAAGAAAAAAAAAATTGTACATATATATAAAATGGGGGATATAAACTAAAATATTAGCAATGATTATTTCTATATGATAGAATTGAGATAATTAAGACCAATAAATATATATTCTTTATACTTTTCTGGATGTCCCAAACTTTTACAATGAAAAAATGTATGTCTTGAGGACCCTAGAGGGAAGGACAGCGAGGTAATTTTAACAACTTTTGTGAAGGAATGAAGGTTCCTTGTCATCTGTTTCCATCTTTGCTTTGTATTATTCTGTTTACATTACTGACATGTTGTTTATCACTCCATTTATTTTTATTTGAAGCCCATTTTCTGACATTTTACAAAATAGAATTCAAATAGTACTAAATATGTTCTACCATATACTAGCTATTATTACAGAAAGAACAATCTTATTTTCTCCACTACAAAAATTAAATAGCTGAGTGCAGTGACACACTTCTTTAGTCTCAGCTACTCTGCAGGCTGAGAGGATTGCTTGAACCCAGGAGTGTGAAGATCAGCCAGAGCAACATAGCAAGACTTCATCTCAAAAAAAATTAATGCCCAATTTTAAATAGTTTATTATATTGCCATTGTGGTTACCTGTATCTTGAGTTTTGCCAGAGCTCAGCCCTATCCACTATCTTAAAATCTAAAATTTAAGAACTTACTAGCAAAGAAATAGGAGAAGGATAACATAATATTAACCAGGAAGCCACAATATTGATGTATTTTATGAATTCTTAAGAAAAAACAACACGAATGGTGTTCATCTTTAAAATTTTTGTTAAAGATTATTTCAAGAAAAGGAACAGAATTCAATAGATATACTTTAAAAGACATGTACATTAAACTTAGGACATGTGTATACTCTGTCTCGGTATGTTGGTTTATTTCCCCAAATATGACTCACTATATCCAAGAACTATTTAAAAATATCACAAAACCACCCATGCATGGTAGTGCATCTATTGTTATAATTAGTTGGTATTTCTAGCTCTTCATTATTCAAGTTTTTGGGATCAAAATGAGAGAATACATGTGATAGCATCTTTAAACTGAGAAGCACTGTTCAAGTTACTGTTTATTTCTATGAATAAAGAAAGTATCGTTACTAGTAAATCCATATAAAAACACAATGGTGAACTAAGGCTAAGCTAGATAGTTTCAATGTGAAACTTGTTTAACACTTTTAAAGAAAAAAAATTTTTTTTTTTTAAGATGGAGTGTTGCTCTGTTGCCCAGGCTGGAGTGCAGTGGTGTGATCTCTGCTCACTGCAACCTCTGCCGCCAGGTTCAAGCAATTTTCCTGCCTCAGCCTACTGAGTAGCTGGGACTACAGGCACCCGGTACCATGCCTGGCTAATTTCTTTATTTTTAGTAGAGACAGGGTTTCACCATATTGGCCAGCCTGATCTTGAACTCCTGACCTTGTAATCCACCCACTTCAGCCTTCCAAAATGTTGGGATTACAGGCATGAGCCACCACACCTGGCCCTAAAGAGAATTTTTATACCGCTATTACAATTAATCTAATTAAAGCATGAACTTTTTCTATCCTGTCAAAGTACGTAAATGTTATCAAGATGATAATAATGAAGATGACTTTAAATGACCAGTTTATGCTGATGTTAGAACCCATGAAGATACAGGGGTGAGGAACTAGTTACATAAATGATTTTTGTTGCTGAGTAAGTGATATTTTATTTTATTCGACAGCTCTAATACAGCATCTGTTTTTTTTTTTATATTATATATATTTTTTCATTTTGCCCTGTCCTTCCTTCCTCCCACAGAGGCCCAGGAGACTTTTATGTAATCTTTAGAAAAGAACAGGAGAAAATGTCTAGAGAGAAAGAGCCATTCCAGGACCTACATATGGAAACAGCTAAAGAGGTGGGTATTGGTCAATGATGCAATTAGTGTCTCATGTACAGTACTGATGATATCAGGCTGTCATAAGAATTTTCTTAGTAATAATGCCTTTCAATGGATGACTAAATTTTTTTAAGTATCCAAATATAAGTATGTCCTTAAGGTTTTTTTCCTGCTTATTTTTCAGTGTAACTGTGATAGAAGTGAAAGCCATAGACAGGTTCAAACATAACTGGAAATTTAGAAAGGGAGTAGGAGCTTCATTTTGGCCGCAGTAGAGGTTCAGTCTGAAATCTCTTCAGTAACTATCTAAAAGTAAGACAAGGCTATACCTCCTTTTGCCTCCCTTCTAAAGTTAATTTTTCAATTCAGAAATTTTGTAATATACCTTACATCTCAGTTTCTTTCTGTTTCTATGCTTTAAGCTACCTCTGAGAACCATCAAAATTAATACCCGGCCAAAATTACCCATAGCTTTTTAAAAAATTTGACTTATGCTATTAATTTGCAATATAATATTTATAGAGACTGATAGTATGAGCTTTAGGAAAGAATTTCAAAGAATAACACTCCAAATGATGTCTTCTGACTTTAGGCACTTTAATTTCTATGGTAAGTCCTCTGAGTCATCAGTATGCAAAAAGGACGGTACAAAAGATAGGCTCTTGGGTTTGTAGGAGGAAAAGGCTAAATACTGTCTTTGAGAGGACAGGATGCCAAACTGTTTATTTATTCCATAAATTAATGAACAATACTGTATATTAGACATTGTGCTAGCTGCTGGGTATTCAATAGTGAGAGAAACAGACATGGTTCATGCTTTCTGTGGAACTTACAGTCTAATAGAAGAGATAGACAATTTTCAAGTAAACAGATAAATATATAATGAAAAATTATAATAAATAGCACAAAAGGAGAAAGCAGGATACCATGAGAGAAGTGTCAGAGTAAGGACATAGCATTGGATGCCGTAGTCAGAGAAAGCCTGTGGTGATAGTTAAGCTGAAACCTGAGAGACAAGAAGAAACCGGCCCTGTGAAAGGCAGGGGGAAAGCCTCATCAGTGGTGAAACATTAATGTGAAGGTCTAAGAACAAAAGAGTTAACTTAGCATGTCTGAAGGATTGAAAGATGGCCAAATTAATAACTTACCAACCTAACAGTGTTGGTAAAATGATTTCAGATTCAGGATGGTGGTTACCCAAATGACAACAATGAACATGATTGCCTAGCTCCAATTTTTTCCTATTCTGTATACTCTGTGTTCTTTATTGTACTATGCTGAACAGTTTTCTGGGCTGAATGTTAAATATATTTACAGAATAAAAACTTAAATGTTGTAAAGTATATCAGTTAAGGTCCTGTCAGGAAACAAGTCACATTCTGTATTCTAAGTAAAAAGGGTTTCATATAGGTCATTTGAGATTTACGTACCTGTTGCAAGAGTGAGGTAGCAAGTCAGGGGAACTGTCACCAAATATCACAGTCTTCAGCAATAAAACAGGTGACTGTACCTTGTCCAGAAGCTACTGCAAATCTCAAGAACCTCTAGGAAGCTCTTATCAGCTCTTATTATAGCACCTACTCAAGAGTTTCTCAAGAAACTCACCCAGAAGGTATGTCAGACCTCATGCTGGATCTCTGTACATGCTTCTCCTTGCAGCTGTCTCCTGGAGAATAATGGTCTCTTCTTTCTGCTTTCCAAATCTTGTGTTCTTACTAGCAAACTCTGCTATGTTATGAAGGATAATTTAGAAAGGGGTCATGATAATGCCTGAGTGTTAATCCCAAGTTGGCGACAGACAATTCAGTACAGTTCACTTATCTTGCATTGGTGAACAACAACAACAACAACAACAACAACAACAACAATTGTGAGACTCAATAGGGTAATGATAAGAGAAGCCACTTGTCTTTGGCTCCTGGATACATGTATTCTGGTTATGGAAAATACGGCATCATGCACTGGCTGGTGCTTCAGATTGCATATTGATCTTGTAAGACAGTGCCACAACGCACATTGTGCTGCCCAATCTAGCACTATATTTAAGACTTCAGCAGGTCATTCTACTGCCTAATTAACTAAACTGCTTTAGAATGGTGGGGTATATGTTATGGTCAGTGAATGAAGCCATTCCTATGCTCCTTTTGTTTTAAAATGAGTTCATTGGTCAAAAATTAAGTATGCTAGTTATGTATTGCTGTGTAACAAACGAACCTCAAGCTTGTTGGCTTAAAACAACATTATTATTCTGTGGATTGACTGGGACCAACTGAGTAGTTATTATTTAGTGTCATGCAGTTACAGAAAGATAATGGCTAGGCCTGAAGTCATCAAAAGCCTTAACTGACATGTCTGGTGTCGTGGTGCTTCTTGTTCTCACTTTTCAACTGGCATCTCATGCTACAGGCTTTTCAGAGCATAGTGGGCTCAGGAAATTATACATGGCAGCTAGCTTCTAAAAGGCAGGAAATGAGAGCTTAGGTTGATTAAGGACATAGCATCAATTTTGCAATATTAAAATGGTCAAAGTTGTCACAGTACTTCCCCAGATTCAAGTGGATGGAGGAAGTCCCGTGGGATAGTGTGAAGGTCACATTGCAGAAGAGAATATGAAAAAGAAGATGGTGTTTTGCCTGTCTGAAAATAAAACCTATCATGTGTTAAATGGGCTACTGTATTAGGCTGCTTTTGCGTTGCTGAAAAGGAATACTTGAGGCTGGGTAGTTTATAAAGACAGGAGATTTAATTCACTCATGGTTCCACAGGCTTTACAGGAAGCATGGTGCTGGCATCTGCTTGGTGTATGGGGAGGTCCCAGGGAGTTTACAATCATGATGAAGGTGAAAAGGGAGCAGGTGTCTCACATGGTGAGAGCGGGAACAAGAGAGAGAAGGGGGAGGATCCACACACTTTTAAACAACCAGATCTCATGTGAACTCAGAGGTAGAGTTCACTTATGAAGGGAAAAGCACCAAGCTATTCATGAGGGATCTACCCGCCATGATCTAAACAACTCCCACCAGTCCCCACTACCAACACTGGAGACCACATTTCTTTATTTAAAGAACTATTTTTATTTTTACTTTTGTGAGTACATTAATATATACATTGACTATATTTTGTGAGTACATTAATATATACATTCCCTGTGATAGAAGAATCCATTGTAAACAACCTACTATCAGGTAGCTTGTTGATTCTTTTTGGTCCCTGCTGTTGAAATCTTGTGCACCTAGCAGTGACTCTAACAAGATTAGCTTTGCATAGGGGTTGGAGGAGGAAGAAAATCTGCATTATTGAGCATAGGTATAATCTCTATGGCCACTATCGTCTTGAGCCCATAAAGCAAACATTGTCATGGCTAGAGAAAGAGGCTGAGTATTAGCCATAGAATAGAACATTTTGTCCTGATTATTGAGAACATTTTCTGCAATGGATGCCCTTTTTTGGGGCATTCATATGGAACACAAATAACACCAGAATCTATGCCTATTCAGAGAGATCTCTCCTCATCCCTCTTCCCCAGACTTCTTTATCATCAATTACTAAATTTTGCTAATTCCTATATAGTTTATACATTGTATTAGGGTTCTCTTAGAGGGACAGAACTAATAGGATATACATATATATTTTTTAATTCTTAAAATTTATCATCTTTCTCTCTCGTGTGTGTGTGTGTGTGTGTGTGTGTGTGTGTGTGTGTGTATGTGTATATATATGTGCATAGCATCTAAAAGTAGTACCCCCTTTAACACGATAGGTTTTATTTTCAAGACAGGCAAAATATCATCTTCTTTCCCTTTCTCTCTCTCTCATATATGTATGTATATGTATAGATATATATGTGTATATATAAGTAAGTACAGTCATTCCTCAGTATCTGTGGGGGCTTGTTTCCAGGATCCCCGTGGATACCAAAATCTGTGCATGCTCATATCCTTTATACAAAATGAGATAATATTTGTATATATCCTATGCACATCTTCTTGTTTTGTGTGTGTGTGTGTGTGTGTGTGTGTGTGTGTATGGATATATATTAGAGAGAGAGAGAGAGAGAGAGAGAGAGAGAGAGAGAGAGAGAGAAAGAAGATGGTGTTTTGCCTGTCTTGAAAATAAAACCTATCATGTGTTAAATGGGGTACTACTTTTGGTAATACCAACATATCGTGGAGAGCTGTCTGGAAACCAAATGAGGTCCAAATTTTGTCTTACTCAGTCACATGTCATAGGGATAAGGCCATATGTGTAGACTGAGGTAGAGATAACAATGCAATAGTAGGAGTAAGTACAGTCATTCCTCAGTATCTGGGGGATTGTTTTTAGAATCACTGTGGATACCAAAATCTGTACAAGCTCATATCCCTTATATAAAATTGCATAATATTTGTGTATATACTATGCACATCTTCCTATATACCTTTTTTTTTTTTTGAGATGAAGTTTTGCTCTTGTTGCCCAGGTTGGAGTGCAATGGTGTGATCTCAGCTCACTGCAACCTCCACCTACCGGTCCAAGTGATTCTCCTGCCTCAGCTTCCTGAGTACCTGGGATTACAGGCATGTGCCACCATGCCTGGCTAATTTTTTTGTATCTTTAGTAGAGATGGGGTTTCAGCATGTTGGCCAGGTTGGTCTCAAACTCCTGACTTCAAGTGATACACCTGCTTGGCCTCTCAAAGTGCTGGGATTACAGGTCAGAGCCACCATGCCTGGCCTATACTTTAAATCATCTCTAGATTACTTAAAATACCTAGTAAAATGTAAATGCTATGTCAATGGTTGTGATACTATATTGATTCTTTTAATATGTATTTTTTTTTCTGAATATTTTTGATCATCATTTAGTTCAGGTGTCCCCAAACTTTTTACACAGGGGGCCAGTTCACTGTCCCTCAGACCGTTGGAGGACCGCCACATACTGTGCTCCTCTCACTGACCACCAATGAAACAGGTGCCCCTTCCTGAAGTGCGGCGGGGGGCCGGATAAATGGCCTCAGGGGGCTGCATGTGGCCCGTGGG